CTGCCTAAACTGTTCTTTGACAGAAAAGATTACTTGTTTATTCTTACAGAACTTGACATACCCTTCTCTTATTAGCCCCACAAATGCCAGCTCCATCATCCCATAATATATGTTTAATGAATATTTGTTGACTTGCAAATATTGTATTAGGAAATCTGGACTAATTTCTTATTCATTAGGAGAGGTGTCCTGTGTCCTTTGGAAGCTTTCTGATCACATGGAAAGCACTTTAAAGAAAGAGACAGGAGCCTTAGCTTTCAATTCTGGCTGTGTCACAAACTCCCCTTGTGACCTGCAGCAAATCACTTGCCTTCTCTCTCTTTTTTAACATTTAATCACCTTTACTTATTTATTTATTTTTTGTTTGTTTGTTTTTGTTACTCCTCACCCAAGGATATTTTTCCATTGATTTTTAGGGAGAGTGGAAGAGAGAGGGAAAGACAGAGAAACATCGATGTGAGAGAAACACATTGATTGGTTGCCTCCTGCACGTACCCTGACCAGGGCCCGGGCTGGGTTGGAGCCTGCAATCAAGGTACATGCCCTTGACCGAAATCGAACCCGGGACCCTTTGGTCTGCAGGCCGACACTCTATCCAGTGAGCCACACCAGCTAGGGCCACTTGCCTTCTCTTGCTGTCAGTTCCCTCATTTGTGAAACCAGGGTTGATCTGTAAAGTTTCTTTTAGCTCTGGGTTTGGGCTGCTCTAGATAGGCAGCCTATTTCATGTCATTGCTATTAATGTACACAGTGAATTATTTTCCCCCTGTAAGGACTGCCTAATTGATGGCTCACCCCCAGTATATAAAGTGAAAAACACAAGAGAAAATAAATGCTTTGGCCAAGCTTCCATGCCTAGCATGTGTGCATGTGTAGGGGTGGGGGGTGTTGCTCACTCCTCATCCCAGGCCCCTGGCTTTGACTACATTTTTCCATCCCAGAGCTGTTTAGCAGCTCTTCCCAAGCATAGGACTGTCAACCCTTAATTATATGCATGCCCACTCTCTCCTCTGTAAATGACACAGGGCAAAGGTATGACATTCCAGCTGGGATTCCTCTTGTCCCTCTGAACACTCCCATTCACTGCCATGTTCAGTACAGTCTGTTCAAGTATTGTCTTCTGAGAAGGAGATGAAAGACACAAGACACTAGTCCTTGCCCTCATGGAACTTCTAGTCTACCTGAAGTGGGGACGTAAATGTGCTACCATATGTAAGGGAGAACCTGGGAGTCAAGTGCTGCTTTGATATATCTCCAATACCTAGAACAGTACCTGACACATAGAAGATGCTCTACAAATACATAAAAATAGATGCTAATTGCCATGGTTTTCAAACATTTTAGTTTAATGAAGGGAAAGCCTTTCTTCAGTGAAACAGGTGGATATAAGGTTGCCCTAGTAAGAGGAGCTAGGGTCAAACCCTGCTTGCTCAGGTCTCCTCTGGGCACCAGAGATGATCCTCAGCCCAGTCACTTATTGCAGTCAATTAGAAAGGAGCTGAAGATCAACTTGCTGTTTTTCCTGGTTAACCTTAGGAAAATAAATGGAGGTTTGAAGAACCAGGCCCTCCAAAAGGAATATTTGCCACCTGACAAGGCGTCGTCAATCTCTCCTTTCCCCTCCTTCTAGGACAGTGGTTCTCAACCTGTGGGTCGCAACCCCTTTGGGGGTCGAATGACCCTTTCACAGGGGTCGCCTAAGACCATCGGAAAACACATATATAATTACATATTGTTTTTGTGATTAATCACTATGCTTTAATTATGTTCAATTTGTAACAATGAAAATACATCCTGCATATCAGATATTTACATTACGATTCATAACAGTAGCAAAATTACAGTTATGAAGTAGCAACGAAAATAATTTTATGGTTGGGGGTCACCACTACATGAGGAACTGTATTAAAGGGTCACAGCATTAGGAAGGTTGAGAACCACTGTTCTAGGGTGTTCCAATTAGTAAGGGCAGAGGGGAGAAAGTTTTCACTGGGAGACTTGTAAGTTAGTCTACAAATGCCTATCAATGTAATGTTTGTTTATTTTAAATAAAGAAGGAAAGAAAACCACAGTGGTAATGTTTTCCAGTATTCAATAGAAAGTCATTCCATGTTGTCTTCCAAGCAGTCCTGATTTGAAAATACAATGTAAAACTCTCATGAAATCTGTTTAGTTAGTAGATGGTGCTTCCTTTTGCACAGCTCACCCTACATCACAGTGGTATCTACCAACATTCCTGACCAAATTCATGGTCAGCCTTAGGCACATGCAGCTGCTGGAGGGGCTACCTGATGAGAGAATCTCTACACATGCTTGCAGGACTGAGACCCACTCTCCAACTTGGCCTTCTCCTTGCCTTTCCACCCCTCATCAGCAAGGGAGGGAAAACATACTTGTTTTCCAAGGATGCATACTTGTCAAGGTGATCCAGGGAGGAAGGTACATCCCAGATATGCATCTGGAAGACAATTTTGGGTAACCAACATCTCTTTTTAAAAATCTGTTAAATGGATAAAGCTCTTGAATTAAGAGATTTTCATCATTATCCATCTCATGGCCCTTTCATAAAAATCTCTTTACCTGTACCACAGACTGTCCCTCCATGCAGATGCCAGAAGAGGCAGACATTAGACCGAATGTGTCCCTCCCAAATTCATACGTTTAAAGCTAACCCCTAGTGTGATAATATTTGGAGATGGGACTTTTGGGAGGTGATTAGGTTATGAGGGCTCCCTCACAAATGACATTTGTGTCCTTATAAAAGAGACCTCAGAAAGATCACTTGCCCCTTTCTGCCATGTGAGGTTATGTATAAAAAAGAGCCGCTAATGAACCAGGAAACAGGTTCAGACCAGACACTGAATCTGCAAGAGCCACGATCTTGGACTCCCCAGCCTCTAGAAATAAATTTCTGTTTTTCACAATCCATCCAGTCTATGGTATTTTGTTATAGCAGCCCGAGTGGACTAAGACACCTCACTCAACAGCAGGGGAAACTGAAGGGTAAAGGGAGCTCACTTTAGACAGCAAGTCACCAGGAGCCCCAGCTTCTCCCCTACTGCCTGACATAGCCATCTCTTCCACCTCTTGGCCAATCCTAAGACTTCCTTACCTTCAAAATCTATCTCAGGCCTGACAGCCATCTATTCACCCCGGCCCTTCCAACACTACCGCAGGCTTCACCCCCTGTCCAAGCCCTGACCACAACATGTAGCCTAGTCTTTTGCACTTAAGAAGCTGAGCTTGAATCATTAAATCTGGTCTTAAGATAGAAGCCACTCAAGGTTAGGGCCGGAGGGAACCTTGGAAATTAGGAGAAACTGAGGCTTTCCTAGGGTTCCAAGGTTATGAAAAAAATATGGCTTGGACCCAAGTTTTCCTATGTGTGTTTATGCCTTCCTGGCTACATCCTGAGTTCCTCTATTTATTTTCTTGGTCTCTTTCCCCTTGGCTGCACAGTACCTGCTCTCTGTGACTATGGTGTTGACTCAAGGAGGGATTAACAGACCTAAACAACAAAGAGCCCAGATAAAGGCTGTGGTCCCAGCTCTGAAACATGACTTGATCCCAACTAAGACCTTCACTGGTATTGGTTCGGAAGCCCAAATGATGGCTCCCAGAAATTAGGTCACTTGCTCAAGTTTACTTGGCTAAGAAGTGACCGCAGCAGGAGCCAAGTGTAGGTCCTCAGGCCCCAGGGGCAGCGCTATGCCCTGGGCACTGCTTCAGGCACTGTCTAGAGCTCGCAGATCTGGAGGCCCACTGAGCCAGGGGTAAGCCCAGATCCTGCCCCCCTCCTCTGCTCAGTGTGACGTTGGTGGAAGTGTGTTATTCCTTTAGGTCTCTAAGCATTGCCCGCGTATTTGTGCCTGTGGCTCCCGTCTGAAGTGTGGTGGTTGGAAGGAGTCAGTGTGGGCGGTTTACACTGACCTCCTGTACGTAATCCTAATCCGGGTACCGTTGAGGGTCCCTAGCCACCATAAGCCAGCCCTACCGTCTCACGCACAAGCCCCCACTGTGACGCGAGGATGTCTGAAATCAGGGTTCTGGAGTGGTGAAACCGGAGGCAGCTTGGCCGGCCGCTGGAGTACGTCAGGATTAGAAGACTTTCTCTGGAGTAGTGCTCTCGGGTCCTTCTCCGCCCGCCGTGCTCCCTCGCCCCCCAGAGTACCCACTGACCCCCTCAGGCGGAGTCCTCGTGGCCGCGCCCATCCTGCGGGTGGCCCCGGCCGTCCAAGTCCTTCTCCAGGTTCCCGAGTTGGGGGAGGAAGAGGTGAAGAGCCTGGGCACGCGAGGCGCCAATCCCCCGGCTCGAGCTGGTGCGCATATCTTCACGCTTCCCCCACAGCTCAGCTCGAGCCACAGAACTTTTACACCACCCGCGTTCCCTGACGCTTCTAGAACTGGATACCAAACACCCTCGGATACCTGTATTCACTACTTTTGTAGGACTTTCCGGAGAAGGCGGGCAGGGGGCCGGAACCGGGGTGAGGGTCTTCCCTGAGACCCCCCTAACCCGCTTCTCTTTGCAGACAGCCGTGGTCAACCCTAGAAGGACGAGACTTGGGCGTCCCACAAGACCTAGCGGACTGTGCTCCTCGAGGTACCGGCCTTCCCTGGGAGTTAGGGAGTGTGAGGAGAGGGCCGCGGGGGGTTGAGGAGGGTGGGGAGAGGGCCGCTAGCGAACGGATCGGTTTGCTGACAGGTTTGAGGGTGGGATAGGGTAGTTTGGAGTGAAGAGCCCGAGAGCAAACACTGTTTCTTTTTCCTCTCCCCCTCGTCCGAAAAGGAACCACATTGCCAGGGGGAAATAAGACAGTGTAAACACAAACAACCTCAAAAAGAAGCCAAGAAAAACTAAGCCAAAAAACCCAAGCGCAACACTGTTACAAAACTGTCTGGTTTTGTAACAATTTCCCTGCCGCCGGCCAATGAGCAGCGTGGCGGCGCGTCACGTGGTGACGTTTTATATAACGCTTTGCGGAGACAAGACAGTTATTAGGCGGCGCGAGGCGGCCGGCATGGAGCTCTCTGAGGAGAGGCAGGGACCCGTGTGCCGCCTCGCGACCGCAGTGGCAGCTCCAATTACCTCAAGCCGCCGCTCCCTGCTCTGGGTCCCCGGCCCCTAGACGCCTCTTCCTGAGTTTGTCCTTCCTTTAATGGATTCATTTCAGGCTGAACAGATGCCGAGCTTGCCCGCTGAGCTCGCGAGCAACAACTTAGAGCTGGCGGAGCCGGCGGCATCAGTGACCCGTGTAGATTCGGGCCATCCGGAGGCGACTACAGAAGGTCTAGCACCTCTACCGACGCGGGAGCCGGAGCAGCCTCCTCCGGCCTCGACGACGGAGTGTAAAGTCCTGCTCACACAGGCAGACGCCCTGGCGTCCGGGGGGCGCCTCCGGGAAGCCCTCGAGGTATACCGACAGCTGTCGGAGCGGCAGCAGCTGGTGGCCGAGCAACTGCAGCAGCTGGTGCGCTGCCTGGCTGAGAACATCCCGCCGGGAGAGGCGCCGGCGCCAGTGCCCACGGTCGGGGGCAGCGCAGCGAGCTGTGTGGTGGGGGCGGAAGAGGCAGGGGTGGCCACCGCCGCCGAGGCCACCGAGTTATGGGATGGCTTCAAGTGCCGGAAGTGTCATGGGTTTCTGTGGGACCCCGTGTCCTTGTCGTGCGGCCACACCTTTTGTAAAGTGTGCCTGGAACGCGGCCGGGCAGCCGACAGGCGCTGTGCGTTGTGCGGGGTCAAGCTCTCCACGTTGATGGTGGCCGCCGGGCGGGCGCGCGGAGCCCGGCGGGCTGGGCAGCAGGCGCCGCCGCCGCCGCTGCGGGTCAATGTGGTGCTCAGCGGTCTCCTCGGCAAGTTGTTCCCTGCTCGAGCTCGGGCGTCGCAACTCCGGCACGAGGGCAACCGGCTGTACCGCGAGCGCCAGGTGGAGGCGGCACTACTCAAGTACAACGAAGCGGTTAAACTAGGTGAGCCCACCGGGATCTCCTGTCAGGGAACCCGCCGGGAGGTGGGGGATTGACCGGGACCGGAGTGGGGGAGGGGTTTCCGGAGTTCGCTCTTAGACTTTTCCTCTGCCCCTGCCAATTTCTCTTTCTTTCTCTGGGTCTCTGTCTCTGTGGCTCTCTGTCTTTTTCTGTGTCTCCTGTTAGCTTGTGTTTCTGGCATCTCCGTTTCTGTTTGTGGCACACTGTCTCTGTCTCTCCTTTTGTCTGACTTTCGCACCTTTGTCACTCCGTTTGTTGCTCAGTGTCACCGACTCAGTTTCTCTTTCTCTCCTTCTCCCTCTGTCTCCGCACGCCTGGGCTCCCGCTTACACCTGCCTGCACCTTCCCCGCCCGGAGGGGAACTTCGCGCCCTTCCCACCCTCGCATAGGCTGGGTCTCCGCCAGCCCCAGGTGTTCTCTAGGCACCTGCGTCTGCTGCCCCGCCAGCCCGGGCCGCCCTTGAGGCGGGGAAGGTGTCCCTTCCGGGGCCGCGGCTCCGGGTGGGCTGGGTCCGGCGTGGAATTAGGTCAGGAGAGCACTGGTTGCATAAGGGCCGCGAGCAGCCCGGGCCGGGCGGCCCCTCCTTCGCGCGGGCGGGCGGGATTGTGTAACGGCTGAGGTAACCAAAGTGGGCCACGCTCGCCTCGGAAACCGTCCCGCGAGCATGGGGGGGGGGGGGGGGAGAAAAAGCGCCCGCGCCCCGCTGCCCTGGGACTCATTGTCACCGCTTCCTATCACAGGATCCGCGTCTGAAATAGATGCCCCCCCCCCCCTTTCCAGCCTGCTGCCTGCGTCCTGGCCTGGAAACTGCTCAGGGATTCCGGGGGCTGTGGGCTAACTGAGAAGGGGACACGCCTCTGTCCCGCTCTCTCGTGCTGCCTGGAGACGGATGGGTGGGCTTTGTGGGTTCAAGGACAAGGTGGGTAGCCCCATGCCTGTGGCCCTACTAGGGCTCCGGAGTTCCCGCAGGGAGAGGCTTCCCCAATCCTCCTCTCCCCGCACCTGAACCCAGGAAGTGGCCTCTGAGCCACTGGCTGCTGTTGCCCAGTTGGGGCAGGCTGCCAGGAGCTCTGCTGGTGGGGCACGGTGTCTGGCGAAGCGTGAGGGGAGGAAAGAGGCAGCAGGGCTGGGCAGACCGGACTCTGGGACTCGATGGGTGGAGGAGGGGCTGGGCTGGAGTCTCCCTGTGTGGAGCCTAAACCAGAACTGGCAACAGGTATTGGGAATAGGGGAGGAACTACGGTAGATTGGGAAAGACTGGCATCTGAGGGAGATGGGGACTCCCTCCACACACACACACCCTGTGCTCACACAAACACTGAGCTGCCACTGGGCTGGCATGTACTGCAGAAAAGAAGGGACAGAGAAGACTTCTTTAAACTGTTTGCTAATGTCTTAAGAGCAAGTAATGGGCACCCACACAAACCCTTAGCACATCCCTGAGGGAAAAACCAACAAAGCCTGTTCCCGGGGGAAGAGCAGGGCAATATGAAGGCAACAGGTGCAGGCCACTTCAGCCCAGATCTCCAAGGAAGGTTCCATTCCTTCCGTGCATCCTGGGAGGGCCAGTTTCCCCTGGGGTTTTTCCTTGCGCGGTCAGAGCGGTCAGAGCAGTCAGGGTGAAAATGTCAAGACCACTTCACCCTTCTAGGAGGAAAGGGGCCTCTCCAACAAAGAATATCTTTGTACCGAAAGATGGCCACGCTCTCTTCCTCATTGTTCTAAATACTGTACCGCCCTTCAGAAAAAAAAGAAACCTGCCCCTCACTCCAGATGCAAGGTTTGGACAGTTAACAAGTCTGACTAGCTAGCTGTGTGACTTTCAGAAGATCCCTTTGCCTCTCTGGGCTTGATTTTCCTCATCTGAAGAATGGGTTGGTTGAACCAGATGATTTCTAAAGGCCTGCCCAGCCCTGACATCTAGTGATTCAGAGTGTTGGGAGAACCAATCTCAATTTATTCTCAGAAGCCTTGTCCAGGTTCATTCACATTTGGCCATCTATTATGTGAGGAAGGAGCCTTGCAAATACATTTTCATTTTCTTAGAGAAACTTCATATGTGCTGGGTTTCTAGACACATGTTGCTCTTGCTACCAGAAGACTAACTTGAGCTTGTCTTCCTGGTGGCCATGATGGGGGTCACATCTGGCCAGCTCCCACTCCCCACTTCCTGACCTGTTTCCTTGTGGGTGATACCCCAGTCAGAAGCCAGGCTGTCAGTTGCTAACCCCATATAGCTACGAAGCAGGGTGCCAGAGTTTTCTCCATGTCAAAGTCACTGAAGCACCCCTGACACCACAGGCCCTCTAAGGATCTGCTTAGGAGAGGGGCAAAAATCCCTTCTTTACAGCTGGGGCATCTCAGACCCACAGTGGCTGCAGGGGAGTGTGGTTGGCAGGACAACATTAGGGCTAGAAATTGAGCATGACCCTTTGGGTCCCCAGGGGAAAAGTCTTAGAAAACTTTCCATCTGCTCAAGATCCATCCTCACACAGGATTTACTTGTTTCTGCTGGGAGCCATTAATGAGGGTTTGCTTTTTTTTCTCATTTTGGCAGCACCAAATGACCATTTACTTTATAGCAACCGGTCACAAATTCATTTCACCTTGGAGTCGCATGAGGATGCACTGCATGATGCAGAAATAGCATGTAAGCTCCGCCCAATGGGCTTTAAGGTGAGTGTCGGATGGGAAGCATGGGAAGGGGTTATGCTATAGAAGGAATTGGGCAGAAGGGCCACCCTTGGGGGTATGGGGCACTAGAGCTCAAGCAGACCTGGGAGAAGGCTTTGCAAAGGAGTGGGTCCTTTGACAAAGGGTTACTTAGGGGTCTTTAAGGGAACTGGATTCTTCCCCAATTTGATCCTCCATTGATGACCTGCATAGCAGCCTGGGCTCTGTGACTCCAGAACATAGACTTGAGAGCCTGATTACCTGAGTTTATGTCCCAGCTCTTCTACTTTTATCATCTGTGTGACTTTGGGCAAATTTACTTAGCCTCCCTGTGCTTTATATTCTTATCTATAAAATGGGGGTATTCAAAGTTCCTACTTAGCAGGGTTTGTCGTAGGAATTACATAAGGTAAAACATGTAAGATGCTTAGAACAATGCCTGGCACATAGCGTAAGTGTTTGCTATCATTATCACCATTATTTTTCAGGCACAACAGAAAGAGGAGGGTAAGACAAGCATTGCTGGCTGGTTGTGCCATTCCGAGTCTTTAATATAGTCAGTCAGCCTGCCAGTATCCACAAACATCTAGGTCACATGGAGGGGTGGGGAGAAAGACAGGCTAGGCATTTCAGGATGCCAGGATGCAAAGTGTCACTTTTTTGCATCTCTGGCCTCAGGACTGGCCCTTAGCCACATGTCAATATATTTGGATTAGAAGATTAGATTTGAGCCTGGGCTTCACTACTTGCCAGCACAGTGACCATGGAGAAATTGCTTCACTCTCTGGACCCCAAGTGTCCTTGTTTGCAAAATGAAACTATTGCTATCTGTCCTGATCACCTCACAGAGATGCAGTGAGGGTCACAGGTGAGCATGGCCTAAGGGCCATTCCATGAACTATAATACTTGCTGGGTCTTTATGTAGTACTCGCTCTACACCACCCCAGGATGCCTTCCTTAGACACCCAACTTACCCAAGTCCAGGTCTCATGAATTTCATGAGGTGAGATGTGTTCAGAATCCAGAAGGTTTCCAATTCCAGAAAGACCTTATATGAAGTAATACCCTTACTGAGTTTTGGACAGTGCCCCATAATCAGACATTAATATTTCTGCAGTGCATTACATGAAAATTCACACTAAGTGGGATAAAGAATATAATACACTTTATATCATTTTAGGTCAGGTTGTGCCACCTCATGACTTCTGATGTCAGGCTTATGAAAATATCGGATTATCAGAATTTTTTAAAAAATCTGGTGACTTCAGATAAAGCATTGTGGACTCGCACACTGGGCCATTGATGTCGAAGTGAATCTCGTGTTCTTTCATGAGGTGTTCATGGGTGATGATGGATTAATATGTTCTCTTTCCCAAGGAACACATTTACAGTTTACTAAAGGTCACCAGTGTCTTAACCCAAAAGAGCTCCAATGAGAGCACTTCAGTCCTTGTAGCAGTGCAGGGCAGGGAACTGCCTGGGGGTAGGAGGACTTCTCTTGCAACTTTTTCTGCTCCCATCCTTAACCTAAAGCCTAAGAGTGGGGCCTTGATAGTGCAATGGGAAACGGGGCTGAGTAAGCAGTATACCCTTTTGGATGAAATGGGAAATGTGACTTCCCCAAAAAAGGAAGAGTTGATGGGAGTATTAAACAGGAATTTCAGTTCCCCACAGGTAAGTGGAGAGGCTTACCTCTCTGTCCCCTGGTTAGCTCTCTGAAGGGCAGTCTGCCTTGTGGGGGAAGAACTTTCTGGGGATCCTAGACCACAGTTCTAGTTCCAGCTTTGCCATCGAGGTCTTAGAGAGGTCACAACCCTTCCCTTGGATCTCTCTTGAAGAATGATCAGTACGTGTAGGTGGTCACTCAAGCCAGTAATGTGGACCAGGCCTCTGCTCAACAGACTAGTTAGTAGGAAGGCATATCTGGACGAGTCCTGGTTAGTATGTGTTCAAATAGGCATTCTTGCTACTTGGTGATCCCTCTAATACAATGGTGGGGCAGCAGGAGGTAGTACTGCCCAGTGGTTAAGAATTTAGACTTTGGTATCAGTCAGTCCCAGGCTGAAACCCTGACTGCAAAATTTATCAGCTGTGTTACTTTGCACAAGTCACTTTTCTGGGTCTTACTTTTTTTTTTTCTTTAACATGGGCTTCAGAACAGTTGCCTGCATGATAGGGCTGTGCATAAGATAATCCTTGGAAATGCTTCAGGCAGTAGTGAATACCCATGAAGTTAGGGAGTATTAAGAATAGTGTCAGGAGGGTGAATAAGAGTGGGATTGAATGCTGACGTTTTCTTCCAGGCACACTTCAGAAAGGCGCAAGCCTTGGCCACCCTAGGCAAGGTGGAGGAAGCACTAAGAGAGTTTCTATACTGCGTTTCACTGGATGGAAAGAGCAGGAGAGCAAGATCTGAAGCCCAAAGGGTGAGTTGAGATGACATCAGGTCCAGCTGCCCAATGGGCTCCCACCTCACTGTCTTCTCCAGGGAGGCGAGTGAGGGAACTGTCTTCCAGGGCATTTGGGGTCTTGAGTGGGTGGCTCCCTGGGTTAAGGGGACAAGAGGGAGACACAAGTTCTAATTGATTGCCCCCAAATCACCGTCCTCTTGGTGTGTACAATCAGATTGAGCAGTTGCTACATTTCTGTAGGAGCCTATGAAGAATGTTCTTGCTTCTTTCACTCAGGGTCTGGGTTGTCAATGGGGAAAAAACCAAAAGACAAAAATAAATACAGACAAGTTAACATGGGGATGGAGGCTCACTGAGGAGATTCTGGCTGTTGATAAGAGGTCAGGGGTGTGGGGGTGCCTGCAGCTGTAGAACTTTACTTTGACCGAGTCACAGCTTCACCAGCCACACCGGGAAGCCAGCTCCTCATAAAGGATGCTGGCCCCCGTCTCATTTGCCATATGTACAACTTCAACCTTCAACTCCTTTGCTAGAAATAAAACACATATACTGTCTCACAAGTGTAAGTCAGAGACCATTACAATATAATCCAAACAAGCATTCTGACTCTTGAGTCCCAGGAGAATGTGGTTATTTTTAAAAGCTGCATGAAGTACTGAGAGTATTAGCAAAGGCTTAAGCATCCTCATTCCCCGGACTTTGTTGCTTACTCTTCTGCAATGTGCTCTCAGAGTGTCTGGCTAATTGGCCTGAAGTTGGATACTGACATTCAGTGGTGGTCTCTGCTCTTGCCTTGTGCCCAGCTCCCAATTCACCACCGCAATCCAAGTACTTCTGTTCCATTGTGGTTTGGCAGAGCAGTGACGAACAAAGGGAGCAAGAGACAGGACTGGTTGCTGAAGGCTCCAGAAATGAATGGTTAGAAAAATCAATGAACTAGGGGAAGCGGAGCTCTGGAGGTTCTGCCTCTGACAGATTTCTTTTCCGGGGAGTTGCTTTGCTGTGGTTTGGGAAGTGGACAAAGTGTTCTTGAGAGAAGCACTGGTGGATCCTCCAAATCTTAAGTGTAGTCCATGGTGTGGATAATAATAATAATAACAACAACAATAATAGCAGCTAACATTTATTGAGCACTTGTTATGCACACCAGACACTGCACTAGGGCTCTCTGTGGAAGATATAATTTAATCCCCACAACATGCTGAGGCTTGGTGACTTTCGTGAGGTCGCACAGTTAGTGATTTGTGGAAGATCATTCGAAGCCAACTCTACCTGTTTCCAGAGTCTGCCTTCTAGCCACTTCACCATCCTGCTGTCCTGAAGGGACATGCTAGGAGTCTCAGCACTCATTGCTGGGGCTGGGTGGAGAGTAGCAATGGGACCAACCAGTTCTGCAATGGATGAACAAAGGTGGTTAGAAGAAGAACCTTGGGGACAGATTGTGTGAAGGCCAACAGAGGCAGGTGTCAGGTCTAAGGATGAGTGGTTTCTTAAAGAGTTTTTTTTTAAAGTATTGATTAATTATATATATTTGTTTTTCTACTTCTTTATGAATTTGTTGGTTAATTCTTGTATGTGCCCTGACCTGCAACTTTGGTATGAAACCTGCAACTTTGGCATATCGGGACGACGCTCTAACCAACTGATCTACCAGACCAGGGCCATGAGTGATTTCTTTACTCCCACTTACCCATTTCACAGGTGGCCTGAAAGGGTCTGGTATCATCAGTTATGTTGACATCTCTTTCCAGCTGCTTTTAGAGGGGCTGCCTAACTTAATAGGGTAAGACGTAGTGTTAAGATCTGGAGACTCAAAGAGGCATAAGACACAGTGTCAGTCCTCAATGCCCTTACAACCCTGCATATGTTACCCAGCGCAATATAAATGCCAGACAATAGGAGCCTATGTCCGTAATGAGTGTTCTGGAGTTCTGAAGCTGGGGCAAGAATGTAGGGGCAAATTTCCACTGAGTGTGACAAGGGCATGGCAGCCATTTAGGAACACTGAGGGCCCTCAGGAGTGCTTATTTACCAGTTGTTCCATTTTCAGATGTGACAAAGATGGCCCAGGTTCACTTGGCATTTGTTACCTTATACACTCACAAACCTCAGATTCTTCTCCCCATCCTTCTTGACCCATTTGAGCCTTTTGAAGGCTGACACTGAAGTGGGTTTGACTTTCATTTATGTGGAATGATTATTCCCACTGAAAGTTGGCCCCACCGTTTGTTTTCTAAAGCCATTGGGAAGGCCTAGAACGAGATCTTAGGTGGTGAAGGGAAGATGTGATGAGCTGCTGCTGTTTCTGCCTTGTTTCCTTCCATTTCTCCTTTCTGCCTCCGCTCCCTCGCACCACATTCTGCCCTTTTACCCTCACATCTTAGGATGCTGTGTGGTGGCCACTGAAGAACATCATGCTGTTTTGGGGAGAATGTGAGGGAGATTGCTTCAGAAATGGGGTGGTCCTGCTGGGTCACTCAGGAGGGCTTCTGAGAGCCAGCTTTGGCTTCTGTGGAGGAGAGGGCTCTGAAACTGGCATTTATGACCCTGGGCACTGTGAGTGCCTTTCCACCTCATTCTTTTCCCAACTTAGATCTGGGAAGTGGGTTCCCCAGAAATAGAAGGAAAACAGGGATGTCTGAGGACATTGGGCCTGAACCCAAGGCCTCTCCCTGGGCCCTGGGATGGATAAGTGTGCTAATTCAATTCCATCTAGTGTGACGAGTATCTGTTGGGCGTTTGTCCTGTGCTCTCCAGAAGCTGGTTGTCTGGTTAGAGAGAAAGACTTACGTCTACGGTACGATTTAAGGCTAACACAAGACTGTGTCGTGTAAGGTGCTATATTATGGTGCAGTGGAGAACATGAAAGTATAGGTGACATCAGGGAGGCTGGAGTAGTAGGGGAACACAGCCCTGGAGCTGAGCCTTGAAGGCCAAGCAGAGTTGGTTATCTGAAGAAACATCATGAAGGAACTGAGGGGTGGGGGAGGGACAGCAAGGGAGCAAATCAAGCTGGAGAGTTTGGTCAGAGCTCCTGTTAGGCTCTCTTGATTAATTAATTCCCTGACTATGTACCCTGACTGAGCAAGCGGGTGGAGCATCCAGTGGGTTTCCAAACATTGTAGGGGGATCTGGGTGGAAACACTTGAATGTGTTTTAGAAGCCAGGTAACCTGTCCTGTGTTACATACAATATACACACGTGTATTCACAATCCCTGCTGGCACATTGAGGCAAGAATGTGGGCAGCCAATGATGCAGCCTGCACTAGAACACCCATTGTTGACTCCAGTCCCTTCTGAATCTTCTCACACAATGGGCTTATGCAGTTGCAAAGGAACTAAAACCAGTCTGCCCCATTACTAGTACTTGAAATTCCTTGACTTTCTCGGGAAAGTAAAGGTCAGAATGGGGGAGAAGAGGCTGGGAAAAGAGGGAGGAAGGTTGGCTTCTGCTTTTTCTAACACTTCAGTGCAGAAGGGATAAAGGCCCAGGGATGATGGCTGGGGAAAGAGGGAGCAAAATGGGCAGGCAGAGGAAAGAAATATCAGAACCTAGAAGACAATTGTAGACTTCAACCCACTGGGGTGTGATGGACATGGCTCCAGGCCCCCCAGCTGATGTTTTGTCTCCTGCCTTCACCTCTTTGGCTCTTTCCTCCTACCTAGGTTTTTTAATCCTACTGCAGATATTTCTATGGAAAGATAGCACTGCAGTGATAGCTCTTTAAGTTTGACTAGTGTGACAGAGGCATCTGGGATGCCTTTTCAAAATGCAAATTCCTGGACCACACTTCAGATCTGGGGAGCCAGGCATGGGAACTTGTAACCTAGACTTTTAATAAGCTCCTGGGTGATTTGTTGAAGTGAGGCCCCCTGCCCTGGTCTGCCCTGGTCTGTCTGGTCCAAGACTTCTTCCCTAGAGTTTTGCCCTGCAGCCTTTTCCCTCTACCCTTTTCTCCCCCTCTCCCTTCACCTGAGTAGCTGTAGAAACTTAAGTAGTGAAGTCTTCTGTTTTATGTCACAGCTTCTCCTTAGTTTCTTTTCACCATCAGTCCCGGGGCAGTCTCAGGAACATTCTCCCGATATCCTGAAGCTGTTGGCACCTCAGCTTAGATTAAAGGAACAAGTAGAGTCATTGGCTACTGAAGGCGACAGCCATAATCTACCAAAGTTGTCACAGGTAAAACTCAACTCACCCAGCTCGTTTGTGACGCTTCGTTTGGCTGTTTTGTGGGCAAACCTGGGGAGTGAGCCCTACCTCTCTTACTTCAGTTCCTGAGAAATAAGAAATGGACTGGTTATGTTCTTTGCTGGAAGGTTGTTTCTTCTTTTTTTTAAAAAAAATATTTTATTGATTTCAGAGAGGAAGGGAGGGAGAGAGACAGAGAAACATAAATGATGAGAGAGAATTATTTATCGGCTGCCTCCTGCATGCCCTACACGGGATTGAGCCTGAAACCCGGGCATGTGCCCTGATCGGGAATCAAACTGTGACCTTCTGGTTCACAGGTTGATGCTCAACTACTGAGCCACGCCGGTTGGGCAGAAGGTTATTTCTTAATGATAAAAAACTGGATTTCAGGTATGGTCCCAGGGTTTATGATTTGTTACATTCATTTTTCAGTTCTTGGTCAAATCCAGATGAGAGAGATTTGACAGAACTAGAAAGGAATTGGTCAACTTCCACTGGAGCCATTCAGTGAGGTGGCTTTATCAGCCTAGGGGTGGAGCCTGGGCTGATAAAGATCCTCCTTTCCTGCCCTGGCCAGTTTAGCTCAGTGGATGGAGTGTCGGCCTGCGGACTGAAGGGTCCCAGGTTCGATTCCAGTCGGGGGCATGTGCCTGGGTTGCGGGCACATCCCTTGCAGGGAGTGTGCAGGAGGCAGCTGATCGATGTTTCTCTCTCATTGATGTTTCTGACTCTCTATCCCTCTCCCTCTCTGTAAAAAATCAATAAAATATATTTTTTTAAAAAATCCTCCTTTCCTGCTTTTTGTTTGTTCAAGCTGCTGGGCTTTGACCACCAGCTGAGTTCCTTGTGTAAAGACAACTCCATTTGATCGCCAAGTGGAGGTAATTTCCTGCACCATGTCTTACACATAAGTAGATTTCCTGTACTTATTGGAGGCTGAGAAGAGGGAAGTGATTTGGGAAGGGTTAAGGTCCTTGGAGGAAGGTATATGTGCCTTTCTTTGAAAACAAGGGAACAGAACCACGGAGAGATGGGTTCCAGACCCTGGCTTTCCCATTCGTGGGCAAGTGGGCAGCAGCTGGGGTTCAGAAGTCCAGTTCTGAAGGCAGAGTTTAGTGCTGACTGCCTCGGCCCCTTGGGGCCGCAGTCTCCACTGCATTTGTGCCCTGTGTTCTTCCCTGTATGTAAGCCCTGGGATTTCTGTGTCTTCTTAGAGATTCTCTGGCAGGTAGAAATCTTACATTTCCCCGCTTCTCTCCCTGCTCAGGAAAAGGAATAAAATTCAGGTGTGTCCAAGTAAAAAAGGGGGGGAGGTGGAGGAAGAACTGAAAGAGCATCTCCTGAAATCAGAGAACCCCTAGTACATTTCAATAATTGTTTGAGGTCATGATTACATGATTGAGAACACTAACACTGAACTTAAGTGCCTGGAGTGGCTTCTAATTGCTCCTCATTCCAAAATGAAGAAAGAAGAGCACCCCTGGTTTCCAGTGAGAGCTGACTGTGGAACAAGGGTGGGGTTTCCACTCAGACTTTGCTTTGCAAATCAGTGTACTCCTGTGTAGCCAAAGCCTGGGGCTCGTGGAAAGTTGAGGACACAGAATTAAATAACCCTGAATTCCCCAGGTTGGATACTGAGAAAACCCAAATCCTTTTTCTCTTCACCTCATTGTTTTCTCCTAGCTGTATGGCTCTCATTTTTCATCCATCTACCAATGTTTTTGGTAGGGGTTGGAGGGGAAACAAGAACATGGGCATTTTGACCTATAGACTGTGGGTTTACAATAGAGAGGGATTCTCCAGGTATTATTGGACTTATTTCTAGGTCCATTTTTGAGTATTCCTCTCCTGGACAAACATTTTCTTCCTTCCTTCCTTCCTTCCTTCCTTCCTTCCTTCCTTCCTTCCTTCCTTCCTTCCTTCCTTCCTTCCTTCCTTCCTTTCTCTCTCTCTCTCTCTCTCTCTCTCTCTCTCTCTCTCTCTCTCTCTCTTTCTTTCAGACTAGAGACATAAGTGATCATTTTGCCAAATGATTTTGCCTCTTTTTCAAAATTCCGCACAAAGTCTAGTGAAGGGAATAATTGGATCCTAGTTCATTTGAGCAGCATAACCTACAGCTGGACCATGAGGTAACTGCAGGTCTGTGACACACCTGTGCCAGAGCCTTCCCAAAAGTCTTTCTGGAGCTGGGCTGTAGGGTGAGAGGAAGCACTGAGTGACAGGATCTACCCTCTCTGCATGCCTTGGTTTCCCTAATGTAGTAACTGGGGAATGGTCTGGATAGGAGAAGGGACTGGTGCTACATCTTACATTTCTACCCTTCACCACTGTCCAGGGAATCTCTCCCCTACATGCCTTTCTGTCCTTGCCTAGGGAAGTCCCCCAACTCTGCCCAAGCTGGGCATGCCTTTGTCACTGATGCTGTGTGGACAGAAGTGACTGCCCCTCCCCCATGAAGCCATGTGTCCACTCAGGACTGTGCAGTTCTCTCTCTGTCTCCTGTGGTGGGAATATCAGAGGACAGTATTGATCCCTAGTAGATTCTGACTTTTGGCTCTTTATTCCGCCAGGAAAACGAGGAACTCCCCCATTGTTCTAGACAGGAGGAAGGAGCAGCCAGTGGGGACTGCAACATCCAGATGAATCCTGCGGAAGTAAAGGGGCATGGGCAGCAAGGCACCATGAAAGACCAGGAAGAAGAGGAGGAGAAGGATTACCCTGCCTCTCCAGAAGCTGCCTCCAGCCAGACTGGCAAAAGCCAGGAAAAGAAAAGGAAACATTTTCAAGTTGAATCCAAAGACCCAGATGTTCCTACTAAAGTCTGTAAGCCAGGTACTGACTCTACCGAGGGCTAAAGGGGCTTGGAGGAGATGATGGGCTCCCCAATAAAATCAGGTTACTTGCTGTCCATATGAGGGTTCTTTAGGCTCCGGGTGTATGGCCCAGCTCTGGAACTTGGCTGTGGCACCTCAGGATTGCTGTGAAGTTTCTGTGAGAGCATGCATAGTTCCCAGCGTACTGCCAGTGCTCAAGAATAATTGTAATGGAAAGCCAAGCCATAAGGTCAAGCACAGTCTCAAGTAATGATATCCAATGCCCTTGATGGTGTCACTTCCTGCCAGGCCAGCCTCTCCCTACCCCCATCCCTATTCCAGGAACAGAGGGCCAGAGCTGTGCAATCAGGCCACACTCTGCTCATTCTCAGTTGTGTTTCTGTAGCCAGGCATCTGAGAAGCAGCAGCTGCAGCTCAATAGCTTTCCAAGAGAGGTGGGCAATGCCAAGAGTCACTATCAGCTTTGAAGGCCTGGCTCAGTCCATGGAGTTGCCACTGCTACTCCTGCTGCATGAGGTGCCTGTTGCATTTGAATGAAGTCCACCGGGCTTCTGGATATTCCATGACTTGCACTTCTCTTTCTGTGGGACTCCTGGACATCTCAAGAGTCTACTTCAGGGTATCCCATTCTCAGTGGGTCAGGTGACCAATAAATCAACCCCCCCGGAAGGGGTGAGAGTGGCAGACTGAAAAAGTAATTGGGTTTTTTGCCTCACAAGTTCTGTCTGTGAAACCAAGGTTGGTCCAGCTCTGACTTACTGTTTTCTAAATCACAGAATCTCCTGCTGATTTGGGGGACTTGCCTGCTGTCAGTATTCCACTCCCATCTTTTGACGCAACCGACCTTGAATGTGCCCTATGTATGAGGTATGTGATGTGTGTTGTCACTTACTGCCTGAAGGGTCTTCCTCTCTGGTGTGTGGATCTTTCTGCTAGTGACCTACTGCTTCATTGGTCAGCACATAAAAACATGGTTCTAGCGAAATGAAAATTACCTTGACAAGCCTGTCACACGGGCTAGCTGGTGTCTCCTGTTACAGATTGCATTCCTTATATTCCTGACTTGGAAATACTTACACAGTGGGAAGGAAACGATCTACTCAGAGGTCACAAACTGATGTCCCACAGGCTGAATGTCTTGTGTTTGGTCCTCACGGGATTTTTGTTGTTAAATTTGAATGTCTTGAGACAGTACACACACTTTCCAGTTGGTCATGGTCCCTCCCCTACTCACTGTCTTCTGTCTTACATTAGCCTGCATCTCACATTTGCATCACTTCCCTGGCCTTTGTAGGTATCTAGGTTTGCGACCCTAGGACTAATGTCAACTACTGAATCAAGATCTCAAAACTCAAGGGCTAATGTCAGTGCCATAGGTCTAGTCTATGGAAGCAAAGTAGAGGACCTGCCATGTTTGTTTTGTGCCATGAAGAGGATTAGTAGTGGATCTGTACTACTTAGCCAAGCATTTTTCCTTTACCCAGTGCCTTATCATCCCTACTTTCTCAGATCTCTGGAGAGGCAAATCATCCACATGCTTCCTCCCAAACCCCACACAAAAAGGGAAGTTGCTACAATCATAGTCAGTGTGGAAAAAAAATACTTTATTTATTTATTTATTTATTTTTAAATCCTCACCCCAGGATATTTTTCCATTGATTTTTAGAGAGAGTGGAAGAGAGAGGGAAAGTCAGAGAGAAATGTCATTGTGAGAGAGACACATTGATTGGTTGCCTCCTACATGAGCCCTGACCAGGGCCTGGGCTGGGGAGTAGCCTGCAACTGAGGTATGTATCCTTGACTAGAATTGAACCTGGGACCCTTCAGTCCGCAGGCCGATGGTTTATCCACTGAGCAAAACCAGCCAGGAGAAAAAATTGCTTTCATTTGTTTCATTTCACAGCTGTGACTTTGTAGCTTGGAGAAACTCCAAAGCCAGATGGTCTGGATTTGAACCCTGACTCTGCCACTTGCTGGCTGTTTGACCTGGAGCAAGTGACTTTCTTTGACACTGTTTTCTCATCAGTAAAATGGAGAACAGTAGTCTTTACCCTATGGGGGGTATAATTAATTGAGAAAATCTACTTAAAACACTTAGAATGGTGCCTGATATATAAGTACCTAATAAATGTTAATTATTTTTTCTCCTAAACCAGTGATGGCGAACCTTTTGAGCTCGGCGTGTCAGCATTTTGAAAAACCCTAACTTAACTCTGGTGCTGTGTCACATATAGAAATTTTTTGATATTTGCAACCATAGTATAAAAAAGATTTATATTTTTGATATTTATTGTATATATTTAAATGCCATTTAACAAAGAAAAATCAACCAAAAAAATGAGTTCGCGTGTCAGAGGTTCGCCATCACTGTCCTAGACCATGAGGAGGTTCTTTTTTTTTTTAAGTCCCACCAGTTTAATTACAATAAAAACCCCAAAAAATGGAAAACAAGGGGTGGGGAAGAGGACCCTAAGCGAGGGGCACAGGGAACCCTGCTCATGGCAGCAGGCCTGACTGCTGGGCCCCTTGGTATTGCTGTTGCTACAAGGGAGGTCAGGGGGCAGTGATTGTCCTGTGGGAGCCACCATTCACCTGGGTTGAGGACCCTTACTTCTTCTGGTATGTGCTCAGCTTTTGCATGCCTCCAGTCTTGTCCAGCAGGCCAGAGATGAAGGCCTCAGTGGGTTTGTAACAGTCAAAGAGCAGCTCCTTGACCCTGGAAGCCTGGGTGTCATCACTCTCCATGTCCAGGAGTTCATCCACATCAATCTCCAGCCCCAGGATATCTTCCTGGCAGTCCTAGAGGCGAGTGAGCTGTTCCAGGATCCAGTCCTCCAGGTTGAGGCGCTTCATAACTCCTTGCAGTTGTACTTGATTGCAACCTTCCCTTGGCACTTCACTGGGCCATCATCCTTTGGCTGCCAGGGTCCCTCACCTGCAGTACCAGGGGCACCTTGAAAGTAGATGCAAGGACCCTGGGCCACCACCTCCCAGACCAGGAGCTGGAGCATCAATCCTGCACCCTCCTCGGGACCACTGTTTGCCCTGGTGGCTGCCTCGGCCACTGTGCATGTCAGGCTTCCCCCCTGCCCCCCCACCTCCTCTGGGTCGCCTGCTGGGTGGCTGAGGGCTCTTGGCTTGGGTCAGCTGGGGGAGGGGGGTTGTGTCCAGAGTCAGCTGCAGCATGTGGAGCCCCAGGGCCTGGCTTGTCCATGTATACATTCTAGTAGATCTATGAATTCCCTAGCATTGTATGTAGAAGTATGTGTGTGTGTGTGTGTGTGTGTGTGTGTGTGTGTGTGTGTGTGTTTCCAGGACAAGGTCCACAGCTTTCAGTAGATTCTCAAATGTGTCTTTCTTCCAAAAGATCATTAAAAGGAGGCTAAGATATTTGCACAAAAGTTGTTTAGATGGCTGAGCCAAGAGAAGATATGTTAAGAAAAATATTTTGGTCCATCACACAGTGGGATCCAGCCAGCAGAGGATTCTCAAAGGTTGTCTTGTCCTTTACAAGCACATACACTTTCCATGTCAATCCCATGCATTTGTATTCAGAATGACTTTTCTTGTCACCTGAATAAAAATGACTAAGGCAGCCATTACCTTTCTTTCTCTTAAAAAAAATAGAGTTGGCAGATTTGCTCATAAGCTCAGGCAGACCTGATAACGGACAGTTCAATAGATGGAACATGAAATACCCGAGGAAAGCCTTCCATACAGTCAGGAGTTCGTTTGCTTTTACCATCTCCATCTCCTCAACAAGGTGGCAGGTGGGCCATGCCAGAGCCAAAGGGATAGAGAAACTCTGCTTTCCTGCAGAGAAATGGGCCTCCACAGGTAATACCACTGTAAGCCTGTTATGTGAGTTGTGGACTTTCACATGTCTAACTTTGAGAGATTTGATTCAGTTTGCTCAGAAAGCCCCGCTCCTTCGTGTACTTATCACTCCTCCTGACATCCAGGGGATGCAAAATCAAACACACAGACTCATCCTGTTTGTGTTTTCCCTGAGGTTGAAGTTCTTTTGTTCCATTTCCTCTTCTTTCTCCCTTTCATCTTGTTTGTCCCTGATCTCGACAGGGGGCTTCAGAGAAGGGTTAGAAATCTGGTCCAAGAAATAAACACCAAGAGGATAAGACCCCTTTTAGTTTGCTTGCTCCGACTTTAAAAGCCATTATTTCCCTTATCCTGCCACTCTGTTCTAAGTAAGACTTCAAAACAAAAAGCCATCTTTGCCTGGAGTAGCTATTGTATAGGCCGGGAAGTTATAGGGAGCCTCTCGCTGCTTTATGGCAAAAGGAAAGCTGCCAAGTCCAGAGAGCACTTCTGATGTCAAGGCTCATCAAACGGTAGCCCTTGGTCAGAAGCATGTAGTTCCTCTTCCAAAAGGGTTTGTCTCAAAGTCAGAAATCAGATGTTGATAAGGGCTATTTCATATACAAGCTTTAGCTTGAGTTATTGTAGGCTTTTTAAATATATGTATTTTTATTGATTTCAGGGAGGAAGGGAGAAAGAGAGAGATAGAAACATCAATAATGAGAGAGAATCATGGATAGGATGCCTCCTGCACTGGGAAATCCCACTGGGGATTTAGCGCACAACCCAGGAATATGCCATGACTGGGAATCAAACCATGACCTCCTGGTTCATAGGTCATCGCTCAACTACCGAGCCACACCGGCCGGGTAAGTTATTGTAGTCTTGAGAAAGTTCCTGTTTTCACTTCCCTTTGGTGTTTTTCTTCTTTTTATTGTTAGGATTATTATTAGATTCTATTATGACCCTCATGTGTCTTTGGGTGAGAGGGTCTAAGGGTACAGTTATTTTTAAACAATCTGACAGGCCATAAACTAGACATTTGTATCTCCTATATGAGTTTCTAGAATGAACTCCAGTCCTGTGGTGCTACATTGGCAGAAAACAAATTTGAGTGCAGATTTATCTATTCTGATTCTAGGGAGAAAATGAAGAGCAGCTTGTAAATTCCATGGGAAAGGGTGGAAAGAGTAAACAGAACAATAATTGGCAGCTGCATTCATGAGGAACTTTCAGGGCTCCAGGTCTCCCTTGCTGGATTGGGGGAACTCTGCTGATGGAGGTTTCTTCCTAATTCCAACATCTCAGAACTCTGCCCCTCAATTTATAGTGACTGAAAATCCTTCCTTGAGATTTGCCTGATATGGATATTCTAGCCTTTGGGGTCGCCACTGGGGCTGCTGTGCAGAAGCACCTTTGGTGTGACAAGATATTTTGAGATGTGGAGCAAGAATGTTTGATGTTTGAACCAGTTATCTAATGGCCTAGTGACCTCTTCATCAATTGAAACATAAAGCTTTATATTTACCCTAGATTTAACTACTCAACTACCTGGGTGTTAGGGAGCCAGTTTATTCTATTCTATTTTATTCTATTCTATTCCAATTTTTCTCTCCCTTTCTCTATCTCGCCCCTCCTTCTCAGGTCGCTCTTTGCTCTCAATTTGATAGCAAAAGAACACAATACAAGGATGTAACTGGTTGGAAAAGATAGCTATTTTCAGATAAGCTAAACATTTTATCCAGGCTGAAATCTAACTGAAAACATTTATTATTACTATTGCTTAATCCCTCATGTGACAATGTAAAATGCTTTCTTGTGAAAAAATCTGGCCCTACTCTGATTTATAAATGTCTCCCTGAAGTGTTTTCTGAAATCATTATCAAAAGTGGTAAATAGCCCTGGCCGGTGTGGCTCAGATAATTGGTTCATCATCTCGTACGCCGAAAGGTCTCGGGTTAGATTCCTGGTCAGGGCACATACCCAGATTGCAGGTTCAATCCCCGGTTCAGGTTTGTTCAGGAGGCAACTGATCGATGTTTCACTCTCACACCAATGTTTCTCTCTCTCTCTCTCTCTCTCTCTCTCTCTCTCTCTCTCTCTCCCTCCCTCCCCCTTCTCTCTCTCTAAAATCAATAAGAGCATGTCCTGGGGTGAGGAAGTATATCTCTATATCTAGCTCTATCTACCTAGCTAGCATCTACAGTTCTCTTATTTCTCTTTCTCTCTCCCCACCCCTCCCATGAGGGGAGAGGAGAGGAAGGGAGACAGAGAGGGAGAGAGAAGTTGTGTGTGTGTGTGTGTGTGTGTGTGTGTGTGTGTGTGTGTGTGTGTGAATGTGTGCTTTTATAAGTACACGGATGATTTCCGTTCCAGGTATAGAGGTACACACAGTCGTGGCCATGTCATATAGTGGAAAAGGAACACAGGCTTGGAAATCAGATATGACTTTATATCCAAGCTCCAGCTAGCTGTTTGACCATAGATAAGTTGTTTAACCTGTCTGGTTCTTAATTTCTTCAGTAGTAAAATGAAGCTAATCATATTTACAACCTACTAATATATAAAATTAATTTATGTGGAAAATAGTATTACACACACTAGAATAGCGAGAGAAATATTCCATCTGTTCCTAATCACGTTACTCAGTTAACTTTTGTAGTAGGGTCACCCTGAATATTGAATTGAATTGAGTTTTGAAAGGTGATATATTCTAATCATTTGAAACTTGAATTATTTCAAATCAATAATTATGCACCATCTGTGGCAGCATTTTTGTTTGTGGCCACTCAGATTAGAGGTGTTTTAATCATAGCTCTTACAAAGAGTTGCTGAATTCTTTTGTGTCTGTTTTACTCATCTGCTTATTAGATGTCAGTATTAATTGCAATTAATTTTTTAAATATATTTTTATTGTTGATAGTATTACAGGTATCTCCCATTACCCCCCTTATTGCAATTAATTGACCAGCTATATCATTGTTATTTTATGTGGATTACATTGTTAAATGAACTAAAGGCCCACTTTTGAAATTATCTGTAAAAATAGTTCTGCAGATGCAGATTCATCCATCATCTTCATCATTAGCGTTATTGAATAATGTACAAAAAGCATTCGGCTTCATGAGACTCACTTTTCTGAGGAAATGAGACATTCTGGTTTAGCTGTTCTAGTAGTTAGAATTCGGCATAAATGTATTCTCTTAATAAAATATTGTAAAGATGATACTCATGCAACCCCTCTCAGTTCAGGAAATAAAACATTGTCAGAACCCCAGATGCCACTTCCAAATCACAAATCCCTCCTCCTGAAACCACTATCTTAACTTTTATCTCTTCTTTTAAAGAAGAAACTAGTTTTACCATGACGTATGGATCTCTAAACAGTGTAATTTAGTTTTGCCTATTTTTCAAAAAACCTTTATATAAATGGAATTGTTCAAAACATATTCTTTTGTTCTGGCCTCTTTACCTCAATATTAAGAGTTATCCATGTTACTGCAGGTAGGTAGAACTTGTTCATTTTCATTAGTGTACATATAGTGTCCTATTGTATGAATCTCTCACAATTTCTTTTTAAAAAATATATTTTATTGATTTTTTACAGAGAGGAAGGGAGAGGGATAGAGAGTCAGAAACATCGATAAGAGAGAAACATTGATCAGCTGCCTCCTGCACACACCCCACTGGGGATGCACCCGAAACCAATGTACATGCCCTTGACCAGAATCGAACCTGGGACCCTTCAGTCCGCAGGCCGACGCTCTATCCACTGAGCCAAACCGGTTAGGGCTCACAATTTCTTTAAAAAAATTTTTAAAGGAATAAAAAGAAAAGAAAAAAAATCCCTTGCCAGTTTGGGTCAGTGGAAAGAGTGTTGGCCTGCAGACTGAAGGGTCCTGGGTTTGATTCTGGTCAAGGGCACGTACCTCAGTTGCGGGCTCCACCCCAGCCTGAGCCCTGTTTGGGGAGCGTGCAGGAGGCAACCAATCGATGTGTTTCTTTCACATTGATGTTTCTCTCTGTCTTTCCTTCTCTCTTTCACTCGCTCTAAAAGTCAATGGGAAAGTATCCTCAAGTGAGCATTTAAAAAAAATCAAATCTCTGCCCCTCCCCTTGACCTGCTGAATGATAAACTTTATCCTGTGAGGCTTCAGCATGTCTATATTTTTAAGGCTCCACAGGTGACATTGACAATTAGGTCTTGAGACTAATACAGAAGATTCAATTCTGCAGAGATTAGTAGGAATGTGTAATACAGTGATTCTCAACCCTAGTTGCACATTAAAACCAACTGCGGAACTTTAAAAAGTCCTGATGCCGGGCCCTTACCCTGAACCAACTGATTTGAATCTCTGCAGGTGTGGTGCCAGGCATCTGTAGTTTTTTAAAGTCCCCCAGGTAATGGGCGTTGTGGGGAGGAGGAGGAGGGAGAGTTTAGAAAGGGGCATGAGGAAATGTTTGGGGGTGATGGGTATATTCACAATTTGATTGTGGAAATGATATCATAGGAGTGTATAGATGTTACAATTTATCAGACTGTACACTTTAAGTGTGTGCAATTTATTGCATGTCAATTATACCTCAATAAAGCTGTTTAAAGAAAAGCTCCCCAGGCGATTCTCACACACAGCAACGGTTGAGAATCACTGTTCCAATAGAAAGAGCACACGACTGGAAGTGGAAGTTGGAGAGCCTTTCATCTGCCAACAGTTGGCTCTGTACACATGGAAGAGTGTCTGAATCCCTCCTAGATCTCAGTTTCATTCTGGTTTGTGGGTTTAATTTTTTTCCTCACGTACTTTAAAAATAGTGGTTATACCATATTGAAACCCAGGGTTAGAGATTTTGTTCATTAGAAAGATGTGTCATTATTAAATGTACAATGAAATGTTACTTGAGCACTTCTGCATAATTTTTAGAAAAGAAGATACTATATAGATAAAATTTGCCTTAACTTTATTTTTTCTTTACATAGGGTTTAACTTTTTAGCGCGTTTGATCTTTTTTAGTGCTGAATTCGCTTATGCTAGTGCTAGATTTTTTAAATTGCAGTAATTGGTAGCTAACTTAAGAGAAATATGTTCTGTTCTACTTGAATCATCAGTAGTAATTGTTTTAGGGTTGGTAGGTTGTTGATATTATTTTCTGGCCAGGTAGCTGATGCACTTCCCAGCACGGCCACACGAGGGGGCTGTGCAGCTGGCCACCTCTTCCTCTCTACTGACATACTAGTAAGGTCAAAATACTAGTCTGGTCAGGATCTTTCTGTTCCTTTTGTCCTCTTGGTGAGTGGGAGCCCCACTTCTGAACCATCATTTTCAGCTGCCCCAACCCAGTGGTTTTGCTGCAAGTGAGCCTTTCTTTAAGCAAAGTAAATCCATGAATCTCTCAATGTACAAAATGGCTTTTAAAAAGACCACCAGCCCTGGCCGGTGGACTTAGTTGGTTGAGTGTCATCCCATGCACCCAGAGGTCACCGGGTTTGATTTGGGTCAGGGCACATGCCCAGGTTTCGGGCTTGATTGACCCCCCAGTAAGGGGCATGCAGAAGGCGACTGATTGGTGGTTCTCCATCATCAATGTTTCCCTCTCCCTCTCCCTTCTTTCTAAAATCAATAAAAACATATTTGAAATTTCCTTTTAAAAAGGACCCCCCATATTGCTTTGAAAATATCCAACTCCCACAAAACAATTAAAATAGGACTTAATTGAAGTGTATGTGCATGCATATGTATATATGTACATATATTGTACATATGTATCTATCAGTAAGCACATCTATATATATATATATATAGCCAAGGGCCGTCACATCCGAAACAACTGAATGGACAACTGAACAGGCTGAGTGGAGCGACAAGGCCAGCAGGGGGGGTTAGTGAGGGACAACCAAATGACTGAGCAGCAGGCTGTGTGGGGCAACCAAGCCGGCAGGGGGGGCAGTTGGGGGCGACCAGACTGGTAAGGGGAGCAGTTGGGGGCAACTAGGCTGGCAGGGGGGTCAGTTAGAGACAACCAGGCCAGCAGAGGGGGGGCAGGTGGGGGCAACTAGGCTGGCTGGGCGGGCCAGTAAGGAGAGACCATGCTGGCTGGGCGGGCAGTAAGGGGAGACCATGCTGGTGGGGGGGCAGTTGGGGGTGACCAGGTTGGCAGGGAGGCAGTTAGGGGCAATCGGGTAGGCAGGCAGAGGCGGTTAGGGGTGATCAGGCTGGCAGGCAGGTGAGCAGTTAGGAGCCAGCGGTGTTAGATTGCGAGAGGGATGTCCGACTGCCAGTTTAGGCCCGATTCCTAAACGGGCAGTCGGATATCCCCAACGGGCAGTCAGACATCCCCCAAGGGGTCCCAGATTGGAGAGGGTACAGGCTGGGCTGAGGGGACCCTCCCCCCATCACTGCATGAATTTTGTGCTTCGGGCCTCTAGTTAACAATAATACTCTACCACCCCTAGGAAAATGATTCATCCATATAAAAAGGCGGTTATCTGTTTGTTACAGGTGCAATTTCAAGATTCTTTAGGGAATAGACATTGCTTAGGTGAAAAATAGAATCAAGATTAGCCAAGAAGCCGAGTCATTTTTCCATTGTAATGTGATATAAAGTACTTAAATGGGTAAATGTATGAATGTGTGTTTATCTGTGTATGTGTGTTTACATACACTCAGATGAATAGGTTGGCTAAATGTTTTAGAATAGAATCTATGCAGACACTCTGGGTATTTATCTCTGGACACTGAAAAAAATATGGATGCCCCAGAAGAGATTGGCTAGAACTAATGTTACAAAATGATCTAACTATGTCCTAAACTTTAGTAAATGCATTATTTTGCAATTCAGCTCAGAAATAAAAAGCAAATGCCTTTTTGAAGTTCAAAAACAACATGGATTAAAAAAACAACAACACACCTCACCCCAACATACAGAATTTTCCAAATAATACTATAAAAGCTTACATTCAGTATCCCTGTCTTTTATTTTTGGTCTTATTGCAGTTTTCTTCCATTTTGATTCCTAAATTTCAGATTATTCTATGAGCCAGTCACAACACCGTGTGGACACACATTTTGTTTGAAATGTCTTGAGAGATGCCTAGACCACAATGCGAAATGTCCACTGTGCAAAGATGGTCTTTCTCAGGTAAAACATTATTTCTTTTTGGTCGGATTGGCTTATTTGGAATTGGGTACTTAAGAGTGTGTTATTGGATCCCAAGCCACTGCACTGTGCTGAGGCAAAATATTCCCTTAGACCATCTATCTCTTTCTCCTGTCTTATAGCTACTCCTCCCCTCGCCACTGTTTCCTTCAGAAAAATGAGGCAACATCTAGCTTTTTATGAACTGTTGGTAATGAAATAAGTTCGTGTTAGAAACAAAAGTATTAAATTGATGATAAACATGAATCCTTGTTCTAATCCCATCATGGCACCCAATTCACTGTAATGTTGTATGACTCTTATGTCCTTTCTGGGCTTGGACTTAGACGAGCTCTGATGTCCCTTTATTGTCAACATTTATACTGTGTGTGTGTTTTTAAAATTCTTTATTGTTGAAAGTTTTACATATGTCTCCTTTTTCCCCCATTGACCTCTCCCCACCTACTCTTGTCCCTCATATACTGTGATTTGAAGAGATCACTCCTAAGGCTGCAGAAACCTCACAGACCTTCAATATGGTCCTTGTTCCACCTCTCAGACGCTACTCTATTTATTAGCAGATCCTTGGCTACTTGAAAAGCTCTGAAGCTTCTAGGTCCTCTAAAATGAATCACACAAATTGTCACCTTGGTTTTTCAAGTCGGCCTGATGGGATTTTCTTTAGCACAAGAACACCCAGGAGTCCATCTTGTTTTCCCTCCCCCAGGGACTTGTATGCCATATTTTACAATCAGCGTTAATATTGTTTGACCCCTGTCATCCCTGAGGAGAGGGGGGAGACACAAGACTATCTCTAGGTGAATGTAGGTCCAGAGAAGTCACATGTTGAGCTTCCCCAACACCCCAACTTTTAAATGAAGGGAATAGAGTGAAATAATCACACGGGAAAACCCTGAGGGCGTGATTGGGTTGGGGGAAGGGCCAGCATCATCCTTGCCTAGGTAAAGGGGTGGGATTTGCTGGCCTGATTGTAGGTGAGAAGCCCATGGTCCTTATACTTAAATAATATGTTTGTGTTATGGTAAACAGACAAAAGAAAAGTCTACCATTGTGCTCTTCACCTGGAGAAAACCATTGTTAACGGTTTAGTATGTCCCTTTCCTGGGTTTTTGTTTGAGCATCAGCAGTCACCTCCTTCTTGGTTTGGCTACCTCCTGAGTCATTGCTTTTCCCCAAGACCAGGACTGGGCAAAGCAGGTGGTTCTCCTGCAGTCACACAGTGGCAGTGGCTGATGAGGCATCATGGAGGCAGATGCTGTGGAGTCCCAGACTTAGAGGCTAGAAGATATTATCATCTATCACTTTGTTTTCACACAGGGTCACACTTACACCATTCTCAGAGAGGAGAGATAGCTATCTTATTCCAGTCATACTCAGTGCAGAATAGACAAACATAGCCCATACTGGGAAAGGAGAAATTGTCTGAAGGTAGCAATTTTATACTCAGGAACTCCCACTGCTGGGCATGTGTGGGTAGCTTCCATAGTGAGCAATTCTGGGCAGATGCTTTATTGTCAGGTCCACACAGTTTAATGCCCTCTACTTACAGATGCCTGGATTTGCATGTGATAGGGGTGTTTGGGAGGAGAGTAATAGTGACAATTGAGCCTGAGTTCAGTTCTGAAATCATGGTTTATAACATAACTTCAGTGATAACTAGATGGTATATTTTTAAAAAATCACCAGTATTTAGTTGTGAGGTTTTTTTAAGATAGAGAACAAAAAAATATTTAGGCTTGAAATATTCAGAAGCCAAGCATTGGGATGGGGTGGGGGTGGGGCAGGGCAGGAAAGGATCAATGATTAAAAATTACTCTTTAGTTCCCTGAACCTTTTGACCATAGACATTCAGCATGTCCCAGATGGAGACTGTTTCTGTGGGCTGGTAAACACAATAATCAGAAAAGGGAAAGGGAAGGATTTCTCCCCTCTTTTGATAAGAACATGATCTTGATATCAGTGTTTTGAGAAAGCAGTGAAATTTTTAAAACATAAATGCAGGCCTTTTCCCCTTGTTAGAATATTTTTCCTAATTATAATAATAATCAATTTCACTAAATTTATTGGGGTGACACTGGTTAATAAAATTATATAGTTTTCAGGTGTACAATTCTATAATATATCATCTATATATTATATTGTGGGTTCACCACCCAAAGTCAAGTCTCCTTCCATCACCATTTATTCCCCCTTTACTCTCTTCTATTTCGCCCACTCCTGCTTCCCCTCTGGTAATCACCATACTGTTGACTTTTCTAACACCCAGAGAATACATACATTATGATAGTATCAGCTGCTAATGTGTGGGCCCAAATTACTCCAATATGTGGGTCATTTGACTATTCTACTGATTGCATAAGAAGTGCTTTGTGTTTTTCTGATGACTGCATAATATCTAATTGCCTCCTTCCTCAAATAGTGCTTGGCATCAAGAAAGTACAGCAAAAATATTATAATGGAAGAGCTAATAGCCAAATTCCTTCCAGAAGAACTCAGTGAACGAAAGAGGCTTTATGAAGAAGAAATGGAAGAACTTTCTAAGTACGTATATGCATGTTTCTATTTTCAGTTTTACTCATACCAGCTCATAGAGCTGAGTGCACACTTCATCCTTAACTCCTCATTCAGTGATATCATGTCAGGAGCTTGAAGTTGGCCATGGTGAGAGTATTTGCACCATGGAAATTGGCAAATGCTATAAACCGGGGATTTCCCCACCCCTAGAAAGTCAGTTGTTCAACATTTACCAGTACACTGGTGAAGAAGCATAAGCCAAATCACTGCCAGGTGAGATCTTGGCACTAGTAACTGGTGTCACTGGCAGAAGTAAGTTGGAGTAGCTTAAGTGTCCCGAAGACTGTTTTCAAATACATAAGGCAGTGCTATGAGGTTAAGAACTTTGGTGTCAGCCGGACCTGGGCTTATGATCCAGTTTTGCTACAAAGTAAATGTACTTCATGACTCTATGAAAGTCACTTCACCTCTCTGGGCCTTAGTTTCCTCATCTGTAGTTTGGGGATGATAGTAGTTCTTACCTCATGGACTTGTAATGAAGATCAAATGAACTAGTGGCTAGTAAGTACTTAATACATGGTAATAGTAAGAGTGCTATGTCCTCTGCCATGTACAGGTGTTGAGAGGTGAAAGGTAGGGATGGGGATGCAAATAGGGCTCCAGGTTCTCTGCCTGGCTGGAAGAACAGCTCACTTAGTGGGTAAAGCAGGAGGCAACCACTAATTTCTGCCTCTCATACTGCTGCCCTCCCGTCTCGACCCCAGTGGAATCCTAACAGCATTCTGGGGGTGAGGTTCCCGGTGGCAAAAACTGTTCTGGATTTATGCCTGCCCTGTAGAGAACCATTTCTAAACTGCCACCAGCTTGTCTGAATGTCCCTCTCACTTTGAACAACATGTTTTTCTGGGAAGCTAGAAATCAAATCCTTTTTTTCCTCATTGACTTATATTACATCTACTCAGGGCATCTTTATCTTTATTTCTGATTCTTAAGTTTGTCTTGAATCTCTCTGAGCCCTCCTCTCAAATATTATTTAATGTCTTATTAACAAAAACTGGAATACACTATAGAGAAATATACTAAATTTCTGTTTAAAGGCATCCTAAATTTAATCCTTTTGAGATTAGGGCAAATGGTCTTATATCTATTGATAGGTTCAGCTGTTCCTATATTGGATTTACTAGACAAATAAGAGAACAGGGTCTAGGAGGAGCCGGCCCAGTTGGTGGTACTCCTCAGGCTCTGTGTCTGAACATTCGTGGCACTTGTTAAGGGCAAACTCCTGGGTCCTGATTCCATAACTGGTGCACCAGAGTCTCTGGGGGCTTTGCAGACTGCTAGTCTGGATATAAGGGCCCTCAGTGATCCTGCTGCACAGGTGTATTTGAGCATCACTAGGCTAAATTACTCCCACCTCCCCATTGCTCCCTCCTCCTCCCAGCTGGACCTGCCATGGAGACTTCTAAGGGCTTTGCAAATTTGAGGTGCTCATGGTGACTCTGTAGAGAATGTCCCACCATTGCTCTGGAGATCTGGGTCCACTTATACCACCAGTGCCCTTTCCCATACTGCCAGCAAGACACCTGGAGAGATTGTTGAGTGGACAGCATGAAAGAAGAAAAAAATATGAAGTATAACTGTCACCTACCATGTTAATGTACTAGATAGAGAACTTTAGCCAAATTAGGTTGTGTAGAATATCCATTTTTACCTCAGCCCTTAGGCAAGCCCAATCTTGGGACTCAGTCCACAGCATTAGTTGCATTTCAGTATTTTTTATCAGCCATCAAAACTTGATGTTTCTGCCCAACTAGCATGGCTCAGTGGTTGAGCACTGACCTATGAACCAGGAGGTCACAGTTCAATTCCCAGTCAGGGCACATGTCTGGGTTGTGAGCTCGATCCCCAGTGGGGGTTGTGTAAGAGGCAGCTGATCATTGGTTCTATCTCATCATTGATGTTCCTATCTTTCTCTCCCTCTCTGAAATCAATAAAAATATATATTTTAAAAGAACAACAAACACTTGATGTTTCCTTGCCTTCCTGTGACCAGCCTTTCTGTGTTGTGCTCCATTGCATTGAGAATCATGTCATTTACTCTTCCTTACAGCTTAAATAAGAATGTGCCTATTTTCGTGTGTACTATGGCCTATCCCACCGTTCCTTGTCCCCTACATATATTTGAGCCTTGCTACCGTCTGATGATTCGTAGATGCATTGAGACAGGCACAAGACAGTTCGGCATGTGCCTTGGAGATCCCGTCAAGGGGTAAGTGAGGAGCTATGTGAGTCAAGGAAGGTGGGTGGAGAAGCTTTTGGTTTTCCTTCGGGCTTTCCCAGGAGGTTGGGAGGTACAGCTCAGGAGACTTAGCCAGGTCATGACCATAGGCATTTGTAAGGAACAGAGTCCCTCTAGCCCTTAGTTTAGTATGTGAGAGGCTGCCTATTTAAAGGAACCTCAGGATAACTCTTTTGTTAAGTGGGTGGCATATACTATAAAACTTCTTTTGAGGGTGGGCTCTGGAGTCAAAGTGCCTGAGTTCATATTTTGGCTTCAGCCTTGGGACAAGTTTGGCTTTGGACAAGTTACTTAACCTTTTGTGTGACTCAGTTTCCTTATCTGTAAAATGGGTACAATAAGAATGCCTACATCATTGGGTTTGTTGGAATGATTTGTGAGTTAATAATGCACACAAAGCACTGAGCATAGTATCATAGCACATAGAATGTACTCAATAAATACCAGCAGTTGTATTAATACATTAAGATTTTTTTTTCACACAGGCACTGCCTGTTGTATAGCTATGGCTGTAGATCCTGGGACAGGTGAATAGGCAGAAGTCCTTTGAGGCACAGCATGGAGTAGAAATGGCTTGGTGAGGCCAGGGAAACAACTCATGAAGGTTTCAGTTTCTTGACTTTATTTCCAATAAACAGGTTTGCAGAATATGGCTGCATTCTAGAGATCAGAAATGTCCAGTTCTTTGCCGATGGCCGCTCAGTGATTGACAGCGTAGGCAAGAGGCGCTTCAGGGTCCTTCGTCAGGGCCAGCGGGATGGCTACAACACAGCCGATATTGAATACATTGAAGACCAAAAGGTAAGGGTGGCTAGTGCCAAGAATCCCAAAGCCAGGTTATTCCTGTGGCTTGGCAGATGGAGATGGTTCCAAAAAGATCCCTTAGCATCTTTGGGGGCCTTGGGATTTGACATCAAATTGGTGCAGCAAAATTGAATGCTGCCGGATTGTCATTGGGTTGTAGAGTGGCAGTGAGAGCACTCCCTGTCCTGGCTATCCCTGCTTAGTTGCTTAATTATATTTGTGGATAAGAAATGCCAAGCCAGACCAACCCTTGGGCCCATTCCACTAAGAGTTAGGTCTCTGTCAGGGATATCAAAAGATAGATCTGGAGCAGGGTCTACACATGTGTATTGCTTTATCGATTTATTTATATTTTAAAATGTTTTCTTTTGAGATTAATAGAGATTCACACATGCATTTGTATTTCTAAATGGGCAACCTGGCTAAGAGCTCTTCCCAATAATACATCATTTGCTAAGGCAGCAAGATGACATGTCCAGTTAATCCTTTGTTTTCTGGACTAATGGGCAGAAGAGGAGATAATAAACCTCTGTTTATTTATACTTACAGTCACTATGTAGGACACTTAATAAGTATTTGATCACTGAAAAAATATATTCAACTTGGATGATAAAGTTATAAAGTGAGATACAGGCACATTCATGTCTCTCTTCCCAGTAAGCAATGAGAAAGCAGATGTAAAAAATGAAAAGGAGAGAAACATAAGCCAACATAACCTAGTTTAAGATCACGCCTCCACTCAGGCCAGTTTGCATTTCTGGTTTTCTATATGTGTTGCTGTTTCAGCCAGTTTACCCAGCCAAATCTTTCTCCTCCCTCCACCCTCAGCAGTATTTACACACAGTCCATCATCTGGCTGAGAAGCCTTTCACATACCACACAAGAGAAAGTCAGGTGGGTGAGCCTTCCCATAGGGGGACAGGATGGATGCTCAAAGAGAGTCAGGTACCAATAGTGGCTCTAGGAGTGATGGAGAAGGTACAGAATGTTTCACTTCCACTTTGATACTTTCAGGTTCTAGGAGAGGATTGTGCTGAACTCATGGGATTACATAACTGTGTCTATGAACAAGCATCATCATGGTTTCATTCGCTCAAAAATTCTCTTAGGAATCGGATAATCAATCACTTTGGTCCAATGCCAGACAAAGATGCGGATCCTCAGGTACATAAATTGTCTTTTTGTAATTGGTTGCCCCCAGCAGATGAGAGAGCCTGGGGTTTGTGATTAGATGGATGTGTGGTTATCTAGAAAATCAAATAACAGGGAGCAAGATGGATCTAATCTGGTATTGTGTGGCTGGGCATTAGGCATCAGGGGTAAGACCAAAAGGAACCCAGGTCAGAATTCCAGGAACTAAAGTACAGCAGTAAGAACGTGGATCCAAGACAAGTTTTGACAGATAAGTCAGGTGAGAGATGGGAACACAGACACAATCAGCAGGAGAACCAGGAGTGGGAGTCCAGATTCACACCATAGTAATGTGTTCGGGTGACAAGATTCACATAAAGGCCAGGCTTAAGAGAAGGGTGTCTTGGAAGCTGAGACCAAAGGCTGCCACTTCCAGGGAGCTTCATAACTGTCTTACCCTCCTCCCACACACACATTGTTTCAGGAGCTAGGAAATAGGGCCAGCTACCTTAACGGATTCCAACTACAAGTCCACAGAAACTTTTCACTCCTGGGTCTCTCCATGCCTAATCCTGTGGATCTAGACCCTTGTCATTGTCCTCATCAGGGTTGAGCAGAAACCAGAAAATGGACCCAGTAGTTAAATTTACCATTGGCCGAGTTATACTAGAAAGCAGTTCATTGGGTTCTACTGAGTCAGTCTATTTCCTAGGGGAACAGGTCCCTCTGAGAGATCAAGCTGCAGACCAGAAATTCTTCAGGAAAGTGGAGATGGTTAAGTTTCATCAAGCTTTGCTTGCCTGGTATAAATCAGAGGACACCCTCTTTCTAGGACAAGACTGGAGCTTTCCTAGCCAAATATTTCCCCACAATCACCTTTCCCACATTCTGAGCTGGCTCTCCTATATTATCACCTCCTCCAGAACTTTCTGAATTCTTTGCTTACACACATTCCTGACTCTTTCACAATAATAAAATAGAATATGTGTATTCTGACGTCCCTGACAAAAGACTAGTCCTGCTTACCTCTCTAGCTGTGTGAGCTTGGCTAAGTCCCTTTCCCTTTCTCCACTTTTCTCCCATCTTTGAACTGAGGCAGATAGATGAAGAGATCTCTAAATTCTCTTCTTTCTCTTGCATTCTGAGGCTTTAAAAAACCAGCCTGTTCCTACTGGGCTGAAATGGCTTGCTCTCTCCAGACCACAAAGGTGGCTCCCTTTCCCCATGTAAAAGCATCATGAATGTTGAAGGGAGAAAGGCCAATTAGTGCTTCCCAATAACCCAGCTCCTGGCTCTGGGCCACTGTAACTCAGGACTATAGCAGAGCTCTGAGCAAGCTCATGATAGAGCATAATGTCTCCCTTCACCTTCTGGAAAGCATTCTCCCTGGGTCAGGCAGAAGATAGCGATCAGCAATGATAACAGCATCTTCTACCAGAAAAAAACAGATGCTACAGAGTGATTCATAATGGCTCAGTAACAGAAAGCTGAAATTTGGAGTTTCATTTCCTTTTTTATTAGGACTGTTATCATGTTGCTTTGGCAGCAGCAGCACTAGCAAACAAACAAACAAACAAAAAGCCAAAATTGCATTCAGTTTGATCCAGTCAGTGCTGCAGCTCCAGTGGTCCCAGTAATAAAAATGTTCTAAGCTTCGGGAGGAGGCTTCTTAGAAACAGCCACAGATATTAACATCAGCTTAAATATCTTCGTTAATTATCCTGGGAAAGAAAGTTCAGAATATGTCCCTCTAATGTTCAACATTGATAATAGGAGGGAGAGTACATTACAGACTGCAGTGAGGGACAAAAATGAATCCAAATGGAGACACAGAGAAGCCAAGAGGGTAGTGAGGGTTGGGGCATAATTAAGTGAACCAATTTGGAGGCAGATAATCCCACATGTCGGTAATTTGAACAGAATGTGGTTCGCTACGGTCCTAAAACCAGCCTTCAGAAAATTGGGGGCAGAAAGCTCATTTCGGGCTTAGTAGGATATAAGTCACCAATGTCTAAAATGCATGCCTGGGCAGCTGCTGACAAACAGAATTTTGGTGAAGGGCTTGTGTGGAATGGGGGAGGTCTTTAGTGAAAGGAAACCTGGGCACAGGGTACATTTCTTATGGGAATGTGTTTTCTTTCTTTTATTTTTATTATTATTTGTATTATCTTTGTTGTTGAAAGTATTACAGATGTCCCCTTTTTGGAATTTTTGCAAAGTGGGATTGTTGGGCTTTGGGGCTGTGCATCATAGGCTTGGTTTCAGGAGAGAAGCTAACTGTAATTGTGGCCCCATGTAGTGACATAGCATATGTGGACTATAGTGCCTTCACCCAGAAGCAGGAAAATGAAGGGAGTTAGGAGACATGCAAAGCCTAAGGGGTCATGGAAATTGAAGGCCCACAAGCTGCCTGCATCAGTCTGAAGGATCTTAAATAGAATCTTAGAAGTGGAAGAGACTGAGTAGTGGAGATTCCAGCTTGTAAAATCACACTGGCTAAGAAGTATAGTGAATCTGATAGGATACTGATTTGCTTCCTTTAACAACTACCAAAAATAACTAGCTTAAACAAGATAGCAGGCATATATGTCCGGGGAGGCCTAGGGCAGCTCTTTTCTATGAGATCATTCCATCCTCACAAAGCTCTACCATCCTTTGACTGTTGCCCTCATCCTCCTGATCACCATGTCATTCTAGCTAGGGGAAATGGAGAGAAGAGGAAGGTGGAGGGCATGTGCCCCCTTCCTAGGGCATGACCCAAAAGTCACACATATCACTTCCCTTTATATCTAATTTGCCAGAACTTTGTCTGATGGCCTCACCTAGCTGCAAGGGAGGCTGAAAAATGTCTTTTTTTCTGGGTGGCTATGTACCCAGCTAAGATAAGGGGAAATACACTTAGTGGCCAGATTATTATGACCACCTGACATTTGTAGGCAAATTAGCTATAATTTCGCGCTGAAGTTGCTAGAGGGCCAGACCATTATAAACGTATGAATAGCACAACATACCTAGATCTGCCTGTGGAACTTGCTGATCAAGTTCATCCTATCATGTTGATGGCATATCCCAATGGAGATGGCTTCTTCCAACAAGATAATGCACCATGCCACGATGCTCATATTGTGCAGGAGTGGTTTCAAGAACATGAGGGAGACTTTACCTTGCTTAGGTGGCCCCCACAATCACCAGATCTCAATCCAATTGAGCATTTGTGGGTCAAAGTTGAAAGAGCCATCAGGCAGCTGGTTCCACAACCATCAAATCTCACAGAACTGGACAGTGCTATTCACCAGGCATGGTGTCAGATTCCTCACATCACCTTTCAACATCTGGTGGAGTCAATGCCAAGAAGAATTGCCACAGTATTGAAGGCAAAAGGTGGCCCAACGAAGTATTGATGAGGTGGTCATAATAATCTGTCTGGTCATAATAATCTGGCCACTCAGTGTAGATACAGGGGCAATTATCAGTCTCTGCTACACACAGAAGCAGTTTCACCTGGGATATTTACCTTGCTACTTTGCAAACCTGTACATTGATATCAATTCCACAGGAATAAGATGAACTCATTTTGTTTCTCTTTTGCAGATTAATCCAAATGGTCCAGCCTGGTGCTGGTGGATATTAGCAGTTCTGCCGCTCGAAAGCCGTGCTCAGCTTCCGTTCCTAGCAATGAGGTCCTTGAAGGATAGACTGAATGGTATTCGGCGCATCCTCGCCTTTATAGCACGAAACCAAAACTAGTGAGAGTGAATTGATGAAAAGGAAATTTCACCCTCTCTACTGCCTAGGGGAGTCATCTTGTAAATATATCAAATTGCAATAACATCTTAACTGAAGGAAGTATCAAATAGAGGCATTACCTTGCTGTTGATTATAGAGAGAAATTCAGTTGAAAGACCAAAGAATGTGACCTGTTAGAAGCTTCCTGTGTTGAGATACTACTTGACATGCTGCACAACTATAGCCACAGCAGAGGTGTTCAAGAGCCCAGAAAAAAATTGCTTTTGACATAAAATTTTCTGAAAGTTTAAAGTGATTTTGCTTTAATTCTCTTTCTTTCATCAGTGAATGACTGTGTGATTGAAATGTGAAGCAAAGATAGTAATAATCTTGCTGCATTATTTCACTGACTTGAGGTCCTATTCCAAATAGTTCAGGTTTTATAAAGCATTGTATAAAATAATATTTATACTCCTTTCTGTTTTAATAATTTATTTTTTGCACTACTGTATCCTTTTTTTCTACATGTATGTTTGTAACTATTTAAGTGTGCATTACTGAATTCACTTGCTTTATTTATTGATGTAGTTAACCATGTAACTAGAAGGAAGTAACAATACTAGAAATGTGCCATTTTTGCTTTAACCATTTTTTACTAGGTTTGATCCCAGTTCTTGAACTATTTTTGTATCTCTCTAGTTGGATGCTTAAAGGAACACTATAAAATACTTAAGGGATTTGCCATAGATTGTAGAATAAGCCAGGATAAAGTAAAACCATCCATTTTCTATGTGTTACACAGAGCAAGGCTTAAGGAATTATTTTTCTAGAATGAAGCAATGAATCAGAAGAGTGTCCTTTATTGCAGGCTATTATAGGCATTTATCTGGGCAATCTAATTCTGTGTTTCTTATCTCTCCCCAGTTCAGTTAGGAATGGGCTTTTTAGGCAAGATAATATTTAACCCTTCTGAGGGAATGGTTTTCAGTTAGGAATGTCACAGTGAGGCCAACTAGCCTCCATACCCTGCCTCTTTTCAGGGTTCTGAGGGTCACAGCCTGGCCAGCATGTGTGGAAATACTTGATGAAGGACTGTCCATTATGGAAAGTGCAAAGAAGCTGGTAGAAAAGGTAAAATGCTTAAAAAACAACCCAAACTATCATTTTGGTGTTTATAATCTTTTTAAAGGAACCAAAAAGTTAATTCATGATTTTATCTAACAATTGCCTTTCCTCCTAGTTGCATTGGGCCAAAGATTTCAATATGGGGAAGAATGGTGGGTAAGGAGATAAGAGTGAGCCCTGGTTTAGCTTGCTTTAGAGTTAGTGTGGTTCCTTTAGTGCCAGGCCAACCTGAAAAATGGCATATGTATGGGAGTGTTATAATGACAAGAGTGAGAAGATTAGGGCAGGGAAGAAGTGAATCATGCCATTTGTGCATTTAAGAAAATGACCATCCCCCTCCTCACCGTGATTCAGAACTGCAGCAGTGCGTTGTTTATTTGAAGCCCGTCCACTCTTTTAAGGTGAGAGGTTAATGCCTCTAGTAATCCCTCTGACTTCTTGCATCATCACCTGTGGCCAGAAACAGAAAAGGCAGAATGAGATAATCTGCCCTTTCTTAATGGATGCTATGTTGTCAGAGCATCATGTTACCAGGTTTGATGTTTGGAGCCAGACTGGGCTGATGAAGAATGGAAGGACAGGCATGGTTACTGCCCAAGCAAAAGCTACCAGACTCCAGGAGCATTATATTACAGACTACCCCTCCAACTTGGTACACACCATGTGGTCATAACACAGTCCTAGTATAACAGTTTCCTATTATCTAGTGTAAATGTAACCCCCCCCCCAAAAAAAAGGGTCATAAGCATCTCCACTTGCTAGATGTGTTACATTTGTGATTTCACTTTTCTTCCTGAGCCCCCGTTTCCTCATCTGGCAAATAGTAATGATAAATACCACGTATAGGGTTGTTGTGAACATCAAATGAGGTAAAATATGTAAACCAATTAGCAGATGCCTAGCATATAGGAGACACTCAACAAATAATAGATATGATTAGATTATTCATTGTTACGGAATTTCATCAGGGCCCCATATTTGCATAAAATGCTACCTTTACACACAACACCCATCTCTAGCCCCTTTAAACTCAGTTGCACCACTGAGTATTGGACCATAATCTGATGCTTTACAGATAGTTCCTTTTGGAGTCAAGTCTGTTTTGGGAAGTGAGAAGACTAGGAAACAAATAAGGCTCAGGGATAAAGGAGAATTCTGAGTCGGCACATTTTTTTTTATTTCAATGGAGCTAAAATGTAGTATTGTTTGGAGGTCTAAAATTTCTAATTAAATGGAAGCCTTAAGTTTTAGCTCCATTAGAATAACCAACTCATCACTCCCTGCTCTCCAAAATGTATTTAAAATCTTGGCCATGCCAGGGTGAGTGAATTTTACAATCTATGACTTTTGTGCTTAGTTCATGGTATTTCTTTTTTTCTTTAAATATATTTTATTGATTTTTTACAGAGAGGAAGGGAGAGGGATAGAGAGCCAGAAACATCGATGAGAGAGAAACATCGATTAGCTGCCTCTTGCACACCTCCCACTGGGGATGTGCCCGCAACCAAGGTACATGCCCTTGACCGGAATCAAACCTGGACCTTTCAGTCCTCAGAGCCAACCAGCCAGGGCTCATGGTATTTCTTTATGCTGCCCCAACAAAAATGTATTGCGAACCCACTATGTACCAGGTACTGAGCCAAGTGGTTTCACATACATGAGCCTGTTAAGTCATTTTATTTCTCACATCTGTGAGATCACTTCGTCTCCAGATTGGATGAGAAAGCTGAGGCTCTGCAATGGTAAATACGTTGCCTAAGTAACATAGTCAGCCAATAAGTAGCCAAGCTTGTTATTGAACCTATTACTTTGCAGATTTTTAACATTTTAAATAGTTTGTGTTATACATAATTTTATTAAATAGACATGATAATCAACTCAAAAGCACCCCAGAAACTCACAGTGAGAAGTTGCAGGTTAAGTAAAATTAAATCACCCAACATATCTCTACTTAATCTAGGTAGAAAGGGAAGTTTGAATTGTTAAAATAAAATTCCACACCATAGAATGCTTCATGTTAAGTGAGCACGTAACTCCAGCAAATGTAGATCTTGGCAAGGAAAAATTTTACTTTGCTCTCAGTAGCTTAGATACACATTTGGGTGGTTTTACAGCAAGCTTTTGTTTTAGTGGTGGGAGGCAGGATGCAAGGCTCAGCCTTGGCTTTCTTTGGGAGGTACTTGAATGGGGTAATTAGTTAGACGTGACCATTTTCACCTCTTATGCATTGATTTTGCAGCAAAGCTTAGGAATGAAGATTATACAGAGACATAAAGCTAAGTTTAGGCCAGAAGGACAAGACTTCTCCTTGGTAGACAGTGCCATTTATTTGGTTAGGTTTTCCTGTCTATCAGACCCAATCTTTTTCTAGTAGATTGTAGTGTGTGTGTGTGTGTGTGTGTGTGTGTGTGTGTGTGTGTGTGTACACTAGGTACCAGGCAGATATGCCTTTCTGCTTTGTACTGTATTACTGCTGCTAGCTAACAAACAGCAAAATCTAGAAAATGGAATCCGATAAAATTAATTTTTGGTAGACAACTCAGAAAAAAAGAGTGATTACCCCTGACTTAGGGGGGCAGGGAACTGAGTATTTCAACAATTTGCCTTTCCTGAAGGCTGGCTGCTTGTAGGTCTGTGGGGCTAGTCAAGTCACTGCACATGTGGCACTTCCAGCTCTGCCTGTGGAGCTTGCCTGGACTCAGATAATTCCCTGTGACTGGCTATTGGAGCAATGGAGCTCCCGAGGCGGGCTCACAGCACCCAGAGGTCTCTGAACTGTCAACAGGTTGCACACTGTTGATGGGCTGGAATCCACTGGGGACTGTGATTGCCTAGGCCGACTCTATTTCCAAGATGGAGTTTTTTCCAGGGACTTATTCCTTGAGTTCTCAAATGCTGACTTTGCATCCATTCTCGTTTACCAAGGCAGAATCATAGCAGAGGTATGGCTCATCTAAAAATGCAAATGGAAAGCATCTGAAATAATGGACAAGGACAGATTTTTCAGCCCGTTCTCCAGCTTGTGGATTTTTCCCCCTGAATTAAAAAATACATATAATAGTAATGGTTAGAATATTCAATTTTTTTTACAGGCAGAATTTTTTTGTTGAGGTTTTAATTCATGATCAAAGACAGATCTGAAAAGCAGCCGGCTGCCTGGGCTGCAATTTGTGGCCCTCCCTGAATGCAGAGAGGAAGAAGGAAAAAGCTGTGTAAAATGTATGTGTTCAATTCCTCCTAGAATGATAGCTCCTGCCATTCAACTATTTTATAATCTGGGTTTTGCACATCCAGAGGTGAAATGAAGACATTTTCACTAACAATTGGGTATTTGCAAATACACTAAGTTTACCTTGAGTGAAAAGTGCCTGTAATACGTGTTCCTGGTGTCATTTTGAAGATTTGCTTCATGATTTTGTAGCCTTTTAAAAATTTGTCACAGCAAATGTGATAAACAAGTTTACAAAGCAACACTGTAGCTTATACATCATTTAAAAAGTTGTTTAACAGGCATCTATTGTCAATGCAACAACAATAAAAGGAGAGCAAATAGGTCAACGTGGCATCACAGGCTTATCTTAGATAAACTAGTTCCATCATTTTATGCAATTCTCAGTAATGCCAGGAGTAAAATATCAAGCAACCCATTGAAACATTAGCAAAAATGTCTGTTTGTTATTCCAGTTGTTTGTTGAGCAGCTATTTTACGCTCATACTGTAATGAACTGAAAGGGGAATTAAGACAATGCTTTTTTTCTTCCATATTGCTATTCAACTACCTCTTTATGCTTGATTTCTCTTTAGGATTTTCTTTCCTCCAAATCTGTGCAAAGAAAAGTTTCAGCTCATCTAAGTTGCAATAACAATGTAATATAGACAGTCTCTGTAAAAGCTGTTTATTCATTAAAAAATGTTTTCTATTGTCTCACTGTGTATCTAATCCAGCTCCACCTATATGTTAGGGCAAAAGTTACCCAAATACTTTCATTTTGTTGGAAGCCGGATAGAGGGGAAAACTATTGAAACATCTATTTTGTTCATGTTCCTATTGGTGGTAATACTTTTGACCAGAAGATCTTTCAAGGAAATAGGCCTGCACTCAGATAGCAAGCTCTTTGTACAGTGAGGAAGGTGTGAACTGATTAATGTGACATGTTCTGAAAACCTGGCTATAGATTAATTGGTTTTAAGCATGTTTCAGAAAGGCTTGTTGTTTAAAAATTATGTTGAAGCATTTTGCCAATAATCTACCCTCAGTTTATTGTAAATCCATTCATATATTGAGTTTGCTTAAAGCAGAGCACACTACCTACTCTGTTTTCTTTGGCATTATTAAAAATGTTCATGAAAGCGAATTACACATTTTTATTTCAGTTAAATAGTTTCTCAACAATAGGCTAAAGCTAAGGCCCAAAGTGTGAACCTTTTGACAGGAAAATTGGTAACTGACTGGGACAGTGAACAATATTGACCAAATTGATTCTAGTGAGAGAGTTCAGCAACAACTCATCTTATTTCCAGGACCCATTTTATCCCATGCCACTGACAACTTTATACAGGTTTTATTTTACCACTGAAGAAACAAATGACATGGGAGTGGGACAATTAAAAAAATGAAATGATAGAAAATTCCACTTGGGCTGGACCTTATTCTTTATAAAAGGATATTTTGGGAATTGAGAAAAATCCGAACTCCTCCCCAACTAGGTCCCAGAGGGAATGCTTGGCTCTGTTGGTTGTTGCCTTTCTGTGCCCAGTCTGCCACATTCCGGCTCTCAGGAGATAGTATACACTCTGGTCAAAGGAGCAATCTTCCCTCCAAGGCAGTCCTTCTGCCCAGAATGCTGACATAACTCTCTCTCTGGAGAACTGTGTTGGATCATCTAAAAAGAAGCTCTTGTTTACAGTTGTCCCCTAGGCCTTGAGCAAAGCCAAAGCCAACACTTTGTCTCCTCTCCTTTGGATCCACTCTGGCAGATTTCAGTTGTCTAGGGCCAAAGATGCCTCTCAAAATGAGATAGGAGCAAGAGAAGGGACGGGAAAATGCCCTAGGCTCACAGGCTTCCAGATACTTAAACTTTCCCTTCTGCTCTTACATTTGATTTCTTCACTCCCAGGAGGGGCTGAGGTGGGATGGGAAGGGGCTGGTGGCAATACTCCTCAATATTTGCTTCTCCCTGGTCAAGGCAGAAAGTACAGGAGCACTGACTAGATCTCTAAGCCCACTTCCCCCTCCCTTTCCAGTTTTCTGTTACTGGTTTTCCCATTTCAACCGATGCTCGTGCTGACTGGCCATCCATGTTTACCGTCCTCTTACACACATGGATTAGCAAATGTTGCATTACAAAGCCCTGAAAACCTCTTTCCTCCACTTACTCAAGTGCTCCCTTCCAAACCTGCCTTCAGAATGCTGCCTATCTTCCAGTAAGTCGATAGTAATTTTTGGATGCCACAAGTGCAACAAAATTAAGTCCTGAAATAACCCACTTACTCTAAATCCAGTTTTGCTATAAAAGTCTTGCTTCTCTTGGATTTTAGAGGGGCATTATGGGAATATTCAACACAGTCATGGGAACAGGGAAGATTGCTGCCCCTTTGGTCCATCAGGTAATATGGCTATTCCTAGCTTGCAACTACATTCTCAGGACCATGTGCTCCTCCTACAAGGCCAAATGAGCACTTTCATCAGAGAACCAGTAGTTAGGTTGGAGGGAGCATTATGTCTACAAATAAAGTTAAGCCTTTCCATTTTAGTGTACAGAAATGAGTTCCAGTTGGAGGGAGGGAAGGAGGCAGAGAATGATTGTGGAAATGGATAATCATGATAATCAAAGTGGTACCCTTTTCACCTTCTGGGCAGAACTTCATGCATCCTCTTCCCCTACTGATTGGGTTTGATCTTCCATGCCAATTGGGAATGTCACTTATGCTCACACCAAAACTGCAGTCATGTCTTCAGGAAATATGTCATGTTCTTACAGTCTTAGGCAGCCAAAGGCCCAGCTAATGTTTGTTGAGTGTTCACTCTGTGCCAGGCTCTTTGCTATGAGTAGATCTCAATTCCCATGTTGTAGGTGAGTACATTGCAGGGTGGTTGTGATTTGTATGGGCATGTGGATTAAAACATAGGCAGTCTGATTGCAGAGACTGCACTCTTTCTTTTTTTTCCCTTTTTATTGGATTTATTGGACCCTGGTTAACAAAATTATACAGGTTTCAGGTGCACAATTCCACAATACATCTCTGTATATTGTGTTCACCGCCCCAAGTCAAGTCTCCATCCATCACCATTTATCCCCCTATAACCTCCCCCATCTCCCCCACCTTCCCTCCAGCCCGCCTCACCCGGGGAATCACCACACCATTGTCCCTGTCCTTGAGGTTTTTTTCTCTTTTTTTCTCTTTTGCTCAATTCCTCCACTTCCCCACCCATCCCTCATCTCCACCCTGACAGCTGTCAGCTTGCTCTCTATGAGTCTGTTTCTATTTTGTTTGTTAGTTCATTTTGTTCATTAGATTACATATATAAGTGAAATCATATGGTACTTATCTTTCCCTGACTGGCTTATTTCTCTTGGCATAATGTTCTGTAGGTCCATCCATACTGTCACAAAGGGTAAGATTTCCTTTTTAATGGCTGAGAAGTATTGCATTGTGTAAATGTACCACAGCTTCATTATCCACTCATCTACTGATGGGCACTTGGGCAGCTTCCAAATCTTGGCTATTGTAAATAACACTGCAATGAACATAGGGGTGCATATATTCTTTTTTAAATATATTTTTATTGATTTCAAACAGGAAGGGAGAGGGAGAGAAAGGTAGAAACATCAATGATGAGAGAGAAGCATTGATTGGCTGCCTCCTACACGCCCCCTTACTGGGAATTGAGCCCATAACCCAGCATGTGCCCTTGATGGGAATCGAACCTGGGACCCTTCAGTCCATAGGCTGATGCTCTATCCACTGAGAAAAACCAGCTAAGAATGGTGCATATATTCTTTTGAATTAGTGTTTCGGGTTTCTTCAGATAAATTTCCAAAAGTGGAGTCAACTGGGTCATAAGGCAGTCCCATTTTTAATTTTTGAAGATAACTCCATACTGTTTTTCACAGTGGCTGCACCAATCTGCATTCCCACCAACAGTGCATGAGGGTTCCCTTTTCTCCACATCACCAACACTTGTTTGTTGATTTATTGATGATAGTCGTTCTGACAGGTGTGAGGTAATATCTCATTATGGTTTTAATTTGCATTTCTATGATGATTTGTGACATTGAGCATCTTTTCATATGTCTGTTGGCCATCTGTATGTCCTCTTTGGAAAAGTGTCTATTCAGGTCCTTTGCCATTTTTAATTGGATTGTTTGTTCACCTGGTATTGAGTTTTATAAGTTCTTTATACACTTTCCTTATTAACCCCTTATCAAATGTATTCAGTGGTTTGTCTTTTCGTTTTGTGGATGATTTCTTTTGCTGTGCAAAACTTTTTAGTTTGATGTAGTCTTATTTGTTTATTTTTTCTTTTGCTTCCCTTGCTAGAGGAGATATATCAGAAAAAATATTGCTGCAAGAAATGTCCAAGATTTTACTGCCTATGTTTTCTTTTCAGATTTTTGTGGTTTTAAGTCTAACATTTAAGTCTTTAATCCATTTTGAGTTTATTCTTGTGTAAGGTGTAAGAAGGTGATCTAGTTTCATTTTTATACATATCTGTGCAATTTTCCCAACACCATTTTTGAACAGACTATCTACCCCCTTATATGTTTTTGCCTTCTTTGTCAAATATTCATTGACTATAAAGGCATGGATTTATTTCTGGCAAAGCTTACACTCTTAATGGCTGTTATGAGCTGCCCATCTTGCAGTGTCATAGACCCAGGAGAACAACTCAGCTCATGGATTCCCAGTGTGAAACTTCTAGTAACAATGACATCAACTGAGCAGCAAGAGCACTCCCATTTACTTAATGTAAACTCTGGGCTGGGCACTATGCTAAACATGATCTTGTTTAGTCCTGAGGGAAGTGCTATTATTACCCAGCTTTTACAGAAGAGGATGCTGTGGCTCAGAAAAACAAAGCAAGGAAGACCATGCAGCTAGGAAACAGGGAGGCTGGGCTTGGCACCCAGGCTGTCTGATCCCACAATTGTTATTCTTACTCTGCAAGTTAGACGGCCTCTCATGAAGCCAGCCATTCTCCCCACTTCTTGGACCTTGACTCCTGTATTCTAGCATACTCTTGCTCATTATAGTCCCCCAAGGTCTTACCCAGCTTTGGTCTTTGGAGCCTCCTCCATAAGGGCCTTTCTCTCTAATGACTACAAAGTACAAACCCTGTGATTGTCAACACAGCTTGCCCAGCTCACTCTTCCCCTGACCCACCTCTGTGGTTGCTTTGAACATTCTTGTGTCACTGAAAAAAAAATGTGGAGTATAAATTTGAAGACTCAAAGGGTAAAATGTATGAGAACATTCCAATGCTGCAACCCTGTAGTTCTAGAGTTATACATCCCAGAGCTGGAAGAGGCCTTAAGAAACTAGCGAGCCCAAGTTCCTGCTTTTTGCTGGTATTGTTTCCCCTTTTTCAGATAATAGAACTGTAGTTGTACAACAGTGTTCCAGGTTATTCCATGAAGTAGTGACCAACATAGAGCCTAATGTTTGATACACACTCCTTCTGATGGGGGTGTCTTAGAAATGAGGGTCTCATTGAAAAGAACAAATTTTAAAGCAGCAGCAGCAGCAGCCTATTTGGAAAAGTCCCCTTGGGGATTACTCTTTCTCTGACTTCCTCACCCCATCCCTTTTCTACTTAAATTGCTTCTATATTCAAGGAGGTTTTCTCACACAACCTGGGAGGAAATTCATCCCCTCCACAGAAATTTGGGTTCAATGGATCTGAAGTAGGCTGCTATAGCCTGG